ATACGTATATAAATTTCGTGCATCCTTAGCATGTTTTTTGTTGCTTATTGTCTCTCACATACTTAACGCAATCCAACGGACAGGTTGGCATGACTATAGAAGTCTCGCCTTCTAGTTACTAGTGCTGCAATGGCCAATCATTTTGATACTAGTATCACATTTTATCATGCGGCAATAGTTATCTATCGCCGCCACATAAGCATAGATATGGATGTCAAACTCTTTTTTGTCGGGCTAATGTAAGACCTGTTGTAATGGATGACCAGACTAGCCACTCAATGGAGCAAACCGGAGAACTGGAGACACTCTTTTGTGAGAGACAGAGGAAGGGAGTGGGTTGATGATAGCGTTGTCATTTCGTAAACTCTCGTTGGAAGACGAGATTAAGCTCGACGATACTCACGAAATCGTCCGCTTTTGAAGAGGAATGTGGCTTAGTCTATGGCCTATGTTATTATAATAACAATTATACAGATATACACATTTGCGTAGTCCATGAAAATAGCCTGTTGGTGTTGCTGTTAGTTTCCCTTGTGCAGTCCTTTCGATCGGGCTGTGAACCTAGGCTCTGAAGTATATAGTCTTATCGTATGGCTTATTTTCGTATTGATCAGAATTAGGACACCGTAAAATGAGTCTGTTGAATTAAGGAAATCAAGCTCAAATTAAAACTACACGCGAGAAAAGACTCAAACGATATCTTTGTCGAGCAATTAGTAATGTGCAGAAGCGAGCTTCCATGTATGACAATGTGTTACAATCGCCAACATCGTTGGCCCTGTTGCGTGCGTAAGGCCTTTTTTGAAAACATTATTCTTGTTCAGTACTAGCGAGTTGTCGTTGCACATTCTCGTCAGTGGACTGCAGATTTTGCCAGAACATCGATTTTAAGACCTATTTTCGTAGCGTCTTAAGTTAAAGTTGAACTGAGCAATTTTTAACGCACTGCCTACGTCATAAGAAGTCTATTGTTACCGCATATGGGCCTTAGTAAATTATTAGATAATTAGTCATATGGATGCAGTTATGCGTGTTTACATGGCTGCTGACCTTCGCAGGTAAAAAGCATTGCCATGAGTAAGTTTCCAGTATATTAACGACTTTTAGCGACAGGGGCTATTAATGTAAGTCCAATTTATTTGCATTGTTCTTTACCTGCACAATGGTATGACTTCTTGTGACATGGTGTTCTTAAATTTTATATGATAAAAACGCCGTGATCATGGTAAAGAAGGTGTTATAGAAAAAGCTTTTTCTAGTCGTACAATTATGGGCATACATTCAGTTGAGATCAGTTACGATGTGGCGACACACAACCAACTTAGACTGCGGCCTCAGTCTGTCAAACCGCGGAGGCCTCCAAACGATAAGTTTATGAAGAGAAAAAAGGTCTATATTGGCCTGCTATGGAACAGGCCACTCCTACTGCACATGAAGCAGCTGCCAGCGGCACAGGCCTACGAAGACTTAGAGCAAATTTCTGGCCGCCCGCTCAGTCATTCACGCACCCACGTGAGATAATTACGTTCTATTCCTTTTCCTTGTCATTCCCGTGCGAGTTCCATTGTGTCATCCGTCGCCTTCCACGCCATTGCTGTTTCTTCCTCGTGCAGACGCACTACATCTATGGCCCGTAGTCTAAACATTCTATGCCAACCCCAATACTCGACGCGAGCAGGTGGCCATGAAGCTATACCACATGAGCTACAAACCAGAGAAGCGAATCGATAGAAAGCGTAAGACACACCGAACGGAAAGAATCCGTTTTTGACAATTCGACAGTAGACGGACGGCTGTTACGGATAAGCCGAGCTGAAGAATCATTCGCGCATTTGCGAAGTAAGAACAGCGTCGTGGATAATGTAAAGCGGATAAGGCACTTGTGGCGAGTGTTACAAAGCGACAATTCGTGCCGGTAGTAACCAGCCGTCTTAGCTAAATAATTCGTACTGCCAAAAGCGTATGCAGATTGAGGAGTCCATGCCTGCAGATGTCAGTACGGGGCATACAGCATTCAATGATTTCACGTCCACGTCTGCAATCAATTGCTACTAGCCGGACTAAATGAAATCCACTGCAACAGAACTGGGTAAGAATCGAAGGTGACATGTGGACGGACAACACAACGAGGGAAACGAGACGAGGATAAATGAAAATGACTTGATCGGCTAAGAAGCTCAGAGTCGTCGATGACAAGTGCTATTTTTACTACCGATGCCAACGACCATGAGCAGAAGTGATATGAAAAAGCAGAAACAGAAAACAGGGCACGAGCTGCATTTTATCCTGTGTCTTCGTCTGTGTTCTTGCTGGCCTTCTCTATACTTCGTGTGCCGTGTCTCGTTGCTGCCGGCCTCGTGATAGGACACCTAATACTCCTTGAAGGTGTCGAGTTACCGTAGCGTTGCGTTGCCGTAAGCGAAGACCTCGTGCCTCATCTACTGTCGCCGGTGGCGACTGAGGCTCCGAGTGAACAGTTCCCTACAGCGTCTTACTGCCTTTGTTACTGGCGCTATTGCTACGGCGATGAAATTACTTCGGGAAAACAATACCGTTGAATGATGGTTGTTGCTAGTGGCTCGATGGCCTAACCGCGAACAGCTCTTGGTGCCATTTGCGATATGGGCTGGTTCGGCTTCGTCGATCGACTGCTCCTGCCGCCGCTTGTCTATTCTCCTACTTGCTTTCTGATTCGAGCGTATCCTGTGTCCTCAGGAACGATAAAAGGTGTGATCGAATAGTAAAATACGGAGAGGGACGCAAAGAAATAGCACGATGATGCAGGAAGGAAAAAACTCCAACAGCAGAGCGAATACGACGCGATTCGCTGTTGCTTCTGCTGCTGATCGCGATGCTCAAGCTGGTGGGTCGCATCGGTCGTAGGCGTTGGTTGCTATCTGACTAGACGGGAACCAAGATGAAACTACAAACCACCAATCTTCGATTCTATATTATTTTGTCCTCCAGTCGCAGGAAACTACGCTTCCCTTGTTGCCAATCGTATGATAGCCTACGAGCGGCAACCTACGTGCTTTGCTTTAGCGTTAAGGCGGCCACGGCCTTCCGTACGCAATGTATGCATAGCGCCGTCGCATAGCCTCATCCGCCTTGCTGGTCAACAACGCCACTGGAAAAGCTACTCTTCATTAGTATACCTTTACAGGCGCTCGTTTGGAATGGGAGCGGGAAATTCGGACGACAGCCGACGGTTAGACGGTCGAGCGGAGGCTTCAAGTTAGTGGCAAAGATCTACCTTTGCACCTTGCCAAGAAACTGTCGAGCGAGCGGGAGACAAAAAAAAAGATAGCAAGCGAATATGACTTTTGCTAACGGCAAAACGGACGTCAATGATGCTGGCAGGCGTGACTAAGTTGATGTCATCCTTTGCGGCTGTCTCTGCACTCGCAGACGACTACGAAACTACTAGAACCGTTAGGAAAGCAAGCGAGTACTGGGGCACAAGGACCTTCTTACGTGGCCGGCCAGGAGGAATAGTTTGTCAATGGAACGAACCGTGTCGGCGGCAAGGTGCGAGCGTTGTAGTCTACACTCCATGGGTCTCTCAGAATGGGTAAAAATATAAGTGTGCAGTGTAGTGCTGGATCGCGTTAGAAATCCCTTTCGTATTCGTGTACTTCAGAAAATGTGATAGGGGTGCAGAACTATTTAGCGAAGGAGTTTCTTATAAAATATGACACAGAAAATGACCTTATTGCATTTTATTAGTACATGTTTATTTCAGGCAATGAAATGCATGAGTCAGGCACAAATATGTGACGCAATCAGATCAACATCTGCAAACATGATGACTATGGAACACGTGAAGACGGCATATAGTACGAACGCCTATTGCGAATTTGTATTATGACCATTTTTTCTAGGTTTATGACGCACAACCTAATAGTTCTTAGCGCGATGTTTACCCTTGGACATATTTATGGTATACGTAGTTCAAGGCGCTGACAAAAGTGCCTGGGTTTTAACCGGCACGACTAAATAAGCCCAGTTTTGTGTTACATTCCACCATGCACGCCTCGGGCACGCTCAAGAACTAAGTCCAGTGTACCGTGTCTTGGACCGGCAGCAACCGCCTTTTTGCGGCAAGCGTCTTATTTTCCGTTTGTTTGTCAAAATACACTTGGCCGCTCTAGCCCGGCTATTTAGTTCTCCCAGCAGCAGCAGCAGCAGCCGTGGACTGGCCGAAATAGCATTGATCGTCACAAACGAGACATCTCCTGCCGAACAAATTTAGGAAAGTAGAAGGGAAGTAGAATACGAGGCCACTAAAAAATTGCACGGCTGCAACAATATACGTTCCAGGTAGGCTTGCATGTTTCAGTAGGGAGTTCATTTCCGCTGTAGAGATGGTTTAGGCCATTATAGGGTCGAGCAACAATGAAGTTTGGTCAACTACATCGCCAGCGGACAGTATGTTTATAGAAAAAAACACTCGCCGTAACTATCACTGGTGGGAACTGTGGACCGTCGTTGGGATCTATTTGTCTAAGGAGTTCACACTGTGGAGTGAAAAGGCATTATTAACGTATCAATATAGTCACACATTGTGCACGCCCACAAGGGAAACAGTTTGTACATTAATGCTAACATTAACTGAGCACTACGCATTTCGGTACAAATATACCTATATTAACTTGAATTGACGCTTATATATGTCGTTATATATAGGAATGGACATAGCATGAATAAATTTTGTCAAATCGCTGCAAAACATATAAGCAGTGACTCAACTGAGCCGTTTTCTAAGATGAATATTATAGAAGGAATACAAACAAGTTTTGTGCAGCCATCACTATTCGCGAAGCAGTACCTGAACGCTCTAATATATTACTTTGTCATAGTACTCAGACAGGTAAAGCAAACACTAAAGATTACGTGTGTTGGGTATATACTTGTAGTTTGTCAGGTACATATTGCGCTTCTCATCAACGACCCAGCTTGTAACCCAGTCCTACTTTGTTCGTTTATATTCCTGTTTGCAGTCGGTAATCTACGAGGAGATCGCGCTTTCGGGCGTTTCGGTAGCGGAGTGGCAGGTGACGCGTGGGTTTTTGGCGACTTTGGCGAAACTCCCCGGAGCGCTCCTCGGAGTTGCCGGGAGAGGAGGTAGCCTAGGGGGTTGCCCATCGCCACACGCGTTTACTGTCATCACGCCGTTGCGTCAGCTCGTGCTGTGCGCGGACTCGCGCCGCCACATGGAGGAATGGATTAGCGCGCTTAAGGGGGTCTCGTCCAGTAAAGAGTTCATCGAGGATGTTCCCCCGCCTTCTGCCCCGCCACGACACGAAATTCAGCTTCAGAATAGCATCACTGACATCGCGATGGACGAGGAATCTTTACCTCCACCACCTGATCTGAGTCTACAAGGACAGCACAGCTGGTGAGTGCCCCTTAGCAGCTGTAATACGTAGTCGCGCATTCATAAGCCCACTTGCTGAGATTAAAGTAGTACAAATGCATATGGGAAGATGTCAGTGTAATTCCGAATGTAAAGTTCTGTCATATAGTATATAGGTTCGTTTACAATTCCTTCAGTTTCCTCAGAAGCAGCATATATGTACATGAATTACTTGTGCATATAGCAGCCCTCTACCAGCTTGTGCTTCACCAGAAAAGGTTAGCTCCTTGTTGGTCAACAGTTACTGTCGACGGGTATATATCTATGAGACGATACATTTTTCAACTCGTTTCAAAAAAAAAGAGACGTTTTAACTTTTCTTTTCCAGAAAAGTGTCCGCCAAGTTTCTTCGATACAAACACGGCTGAAGAGACTGTAGCAAATAACGAACGACGCTAGCCTTTGTTCTAAAAGAAGAGTTAATGGACAAGTCGCTTTTTCGGATGGCCCTCCTAGATATATGCCACGATGGTTTGGCGTTTTAATTTAATTTAATTAAGATTGAAGCACACTAAATTCACATCAATCTCTGCCTGTCTTTAATCCTAAACAGATACTTGTTTTATTACCACTTTATTGCCAGGCGATTTCAGCCTACCTTATATCATGTACAAAAAATACCTTGTCAGATAGAGCCCCAGTTAAATGATCTAAATCGTATTTAATGTACGAGTACTTCAATAGGCCTTTTCTTCATTTTCGAAAAGAAGGTGAACTATAGTGGTATCGAATCTGCGGCTTCGATGTTCGTAACCTTAACAAAATGGAGAAAATATCCAATTGTGCTTTACTTTGCCCGATATAGTGCAGTTAGAGTCTGTTTTTCCTTTTCCTATCGATTCGTGTTCAGCCTTCATGGTTCGCTTTGCCCCTCTCTCTGCTCTTCGTTCCTCTTTGCCCTCCGTTTGCTCCGGTCCTCTACTCTCAACTTACCGTCAACGGCATTGATATTCTCAGGATATATCTCCAGGGCTCTGCCTTCACCCCAGTCATCTTGCGCCACGCCTTGTTGCCTGACCTCACGTATTCCTTTTACTTCGTTCGTCTGGCATTTTTTCGATAAGCAACAAACCCTTTCTCGCCGGCAAGCTCAACGCCGCCAGCAACGCCAACGTCGAAGACGTCGACTGGCAGGCAATAACGGGAACGTCTGACGTCATGAATGCCCTTTTGTTCAAGAAGTGGGGCAGAACGGTACAGCCACCAGAAGATGAAGGGCTGTTTCCAATTCTTCCGCTTTGGTCACCGTGGGTGTACGACTGGATTTGGGATTATTCGACAAATAGTTGAGAACGTATGTGGATGGGTAAAATGAGGCATATGAAGGAGGGAATAAGGTGTCCGTAGGTTCAGCACTCCGAGCGCATGCTTCATCTCGCCAAGCATTCTTTCCTTTACATTGGCTTCTAGACGACCCATTTTCGTTCATGATGTCAAGTCCTCCTCGTATGCCGATCAGGGAAGCAGGCGAGCGATGCCAAGTATAAGACTGAGTCATATATGGACAACTTGTAGAGGCAGCAGGGCCCCACGTAGCTGATGGTTGTAATCCTCCTCAGGATCTGTTATCTCCTGCAGTACCTCTCGCATTCCCTACGTGTTCGAGCGCAATATTCAATGCTCAGTGTTTGTTGTAGGTATGTGACGTCACACGCACGGCCGACGTATTGTAATGTATGTCGGGAAGCGCTGTCTGGTGTCACCTTCCACGGCCTCTCCTGCGAGGTGTGCAAGTTCCGTGCACATAAACGCTGTGCATCCAAATCGCCAAATAACTGCAAATGGACGACTCTAGCTTCGGTAAGTGCGAGTTATGAGACCTTGTTGGAGATCTGTTAAATCAGGTACTTGCCGTATGAAATTTAGATAATTTAGCTTTATTACGTAAATGCATTTCGAGTTTATAAATAACATCGTATTTATCGATTATGGTCAGAAAGTTCAATATAAATGTAGGCTCACTATAGGTGTAAAACATGTACCCTAAATGCACAATTTAGCATATATTGTATTCGAGTTCTCTGGATAACACGAAGTCGAGAAATCGGCTAAAACATAACTAGTTTGTAATAAAGTACGCTTTAGTAAATAATAAAGCGAAAATCGAACATTAAAGCAATTTATATGAAAAATGTCCTGTTTTTGTTTTCATGACGTGCTCCCATAATCAAAAAGTCTGACTATCGCGGGTATAAATAAAACCTAGGTTTGCGATTTACTAAATAATCTGTGACCGAAAAGGGAAATATTATTGGAAGCGAGAACTTAACCGAGTCCGAATGAGTAAATAGACAAATAGGCCGAGCCAGTTCACTATAATACGTCACAATTGTTCGTTTTTACAGGTGGGGTCGGAGGTGTTGGAGGATGAAGAAGGCTCGCCCTCAATGCCCCATCAATGGGTCGAAGGAAATCTACCCGTTAGCTCTCGATGTTGGTCCTGTGAACGTGCGTGTGGCAGCGTTCTACGCCTCCAAGACTGGCGTTGTCTCTGGTGCCGTGCAACGGTGCATACAGCATGCCGACCTGTGTTCAGCCTACGATGTCCTCTCGGACTCTGCCGGGTTAGTGGACCCACAAACGCAATTGGGTTTACTTAACGACTACACTATATTATACACATAAGCTGCTAGTGGATCTATTCAGTAACCCAGACGGATATATGTGCAGAAAGGAAACCTTTAAGCAATTACTATATGTAGCATAATTGGACAAGTGCACAATGGCAATGTACTTAGACGCGCACATCAACTCCTTCGGTCTGCTCAATATTCCGATTTCATTGTAGGCTTAATTATTCAAATGCGCTGGGCAACAGGATATGCTCTTAGTATACATATTTTTATATGATGTACACGAAGCCATAAGTGTTTTTAAACAATAAATTAATACAAAATTGGATGAGAATGATGTCAAGCAGAGGCCCTCACGGACGTGTGTTCTCTTAGCTTAATAATCTATTATAGCAGACCATTCCAGCATTGCATTCCAGTATATCGTCTCGATCAATCGGATCGTCTTTTTGATGCCAAACATGGCTATCCCGCTTGGAAAGCGACGTCCTGCATATGTCCATCTAGTCTGCAAGCACCGTGAAAGGCGATCCCTGATCCTATACAGATCGTATATATATAATGGAGGGAATAAGTGACAACGAACTCGATCCCCTGTACTTGAATATTGCTACGATACGATATTATACCCCGGTCTTACGTGGCGTATCACGTTACTGATAGCGCGAATTTCTTTATTTAGTTAACTTTATTTCTACCTATCGGTCCTTATTCCTACAAATACGGCTGATACCATAAGTGTTATTATTTATATGATGCTTATATCGTATTATTTGTATTGCGTTGGTCAAGCCTTAATTAATAAACGCAGTGGTACTTTAAAGATACTCCAGAAGTACCTAAGCAGGGTAAAGTAGGAGATAGTGGTGACGTGCCGAGCACGACTATCTCCTGCGAATGTAACTCTGCGATAATAGGGTGAAGTCTGGTTCTCCATTTGCACATGTAGCGACAATGTTTGCAGTAACAATTCACCATGTTAATAGTCATTGACTTCTTATTGCATCCTTTGCAAATATGTTTTTACAAGTTACATTTTCGCACAATCGCGCTTGCCTATTGCAGGTGTCGGTAATACCGCCGGTGAGTATTCATACGCCATCATCGCGTACGGGTACAGGTGGTGGCTGGTGGCGTGGGGTCAAGCCTCCGGGTTGTTCCCCACTGCTCGTCTTTGTCAACTCGAAATCGGGCGATAATCAGGTAACGAAAAGTAGCCATTCATTATTGAAAGGATATGCTTTAGGTTATCAGACATACAGCGCAGCAGTTCTATTTAAGATTGAACAATGAACATCTTACCATAAGTATTATTATCATTCTACAGAAAAACTCGACATCCAGTGCAAAGTCACGACTCTTCTTTCAACTATTTGGAATTAATATTTTTTTCTTTTTCATCTTTGAAATGGAATCACTCAGAAACCGTCTACTATAGCCGCAGGCCAAGGATTATTCGCGTAGGATGGAAACTTTGCTTGTCATTTGTTTTTTTTTTTTTGTATTTGCCGGCATAAAGCACACATTGTTAGGGTTGGCGACCGCTATGTTGACTACCTGTTATATCATCATGAAACAGGCTAAGTAAACGATAAAGGACTTCCAAATCCACCAACATACTCTATTGTATCAAAAAAAAAAAGGCGTCTTTAAACATTTTACAGTACGAACTTTTTCAAATATCTAATTAGTCCAATGGGTACTTGGTGGTAATTTCCTTGTTATTCCATTAACAGTGATAAATAAAAACCCATTCTGTTTTGTGTTAATATTAATCAACTAACTTCCTGGGTAGAGTCTCCTCTGTTCACAACTGTTTAATTCACTTTCTCGGTTAAAGCAATGAGTTCTTAAACAATTACATGCCTTTCATGTTGTTTCACAGGTATCAAAATAACACCTTAACGCCTCGTGGTCTCAACAAATGTAACGTTACCCTTATATAATACGGAGTAGAATATAATATGCGGTATAGTTGTATGAAGCTTTCTATACTGAGGTCTAGGTAGCGGTGAAGCCCCTGTTTAGTGAATTTCACTTGGTGCGGGTCTCACGCTCACCATTACACTGTGGATCACAATAAAGGATACCATAGCAAATCAACGTTTTTCTTCGTATCGCTTCTGTTCCTTTCGGCAATCCATCGTTTTCCTCACGAACAAGTTTCCTGTACGAATTTCCCACTGGACATGAGTCTCGAAGGTTACTAAAAAGGTCTTCTTCGTCGAATCCTTCTGATAGAAGACAGTATTAGCGCTTGTTGTAGTGATAATATGTTTCCAATCTGACGAAACTATCGGTTGCCAACATTCAAGTTATTATGAGTTGCCTAGACGATGTGTATATAGACACAGCAAGGCTTATGGCCACTGGCTGTTTTTGTGTCTATTTAGATCTATCGATGTCAAGCCCTTGTCCGCATGCTAGACGAACAATCAGTCTAACTCTTTTTTTTTTCTCATAGAAATAATTAAAGTCTGCCCGCTTGGTAAGCCAGTTTACGTTTTATTCTTACATTTATTATTTTAATATGAAGACAAAATAAAAGTTACCATTATAAGACTAACATGTAGACAGGTGACAGTGTGATTCTTAGTCGACGGGCATGTTTAAACATAACCGAAGATGAAACAATGTACCTAGAATGTACCTACGAAAGGAACAAACTTCGGTTAATGGTTGATTGTTTCGATGGACAACGCCTTCGGAAAGCCGCCGTCAAGGTCGAGAGGTGAAAAAAACGTCAAGTACGCTAAACGAAGCGCCGAAAATGATTTTCAATTTTCATTGAGACGATTTCTGTATGTTTTCAATTAATCTAAATTTTCTTCTTTGGCGCACGTAGGCGCTATATGCAGATGAGGAACGTGAAACAAATTAGGTCCATAAAAACAGCGAGATATGTTCACTAGAGGGCTCAAAGGGGAGAACTGTGAACCTGGAACCTATTGTATCTCATTGTTTACTGCATACCGTGCAACTAATTATCCTTCATTAGGCTCAAAAAAATAATGTCATGTCGACATAAATGTCGACGTAACGATAGAGGACAGACACCTGAGCTCACTTTCATCAAAGGACGTGCACACTTTCTGAATCAGCTCAAAACGACCGCATGAGTTAAGCAGCTAGCTAAAAAAACGTCTGCTTTACCCAAAATGGGAGCGAACCAAAAATTCCAGATTTATTCATACGTCGACGGTGTCTCAGCTCGATCAAGTAATAGCCTGCTGTACAAGCTTCTTAGCACAACGATAGTCTTGCCTATACTTTTGCAACGTATATCGTGTAACATTAGTACAGGCCAACATGTTACTGGGACGAGGCATATTTGCTAAAACGTGAGTGACACGTACCTAATTTGTTAGAGTGCCTAGGCGTCCTTTCGATAGTTTTTTTTTTCGGTGCGTTTTCCAAGAAGCAGGGTTATTTTTTGCGCATCATATTTTGTTGCTTGCTTTGCTTACCTAACATCGATATCGAGAGCAATTTGTCAAGGTAAAACCTTTTAGATTTGTTATGCAAAAAAGTTTTGTCACTGCTTACGTGTGAGCAGACAATGCCTTGGCTTTAAGCGCAAGTTTATTCTAATCGTCTCCTGTCCGGCGAGTCCCATTTCGTGTGTCAGTCTTCTACATCACTTCCAGCTGCCGTAACCTTGAACTTATTTGAGCTCCACAAAAGGAGCTTTGTCATACCAGCAACCCTGTCTTGACGGCTTTTATTTACTGATTCACCTTCTAGACTATTGACCTCCAAATTTAGTTTACTATACCTTTCGTCCAAGGCTTGTTGACTAGCTCTCTGTCGATCAGTAAGTTGTATGTGACGGAGGTAGTTCACCGTAGTAGTCTCTCTGCAGAATTCCTCTAACAGGGCTCTGTTAGCGTTCACCGAGGTCCCTTCGTATGCGACATGTAGGCAGCCTTTCGACATCATGTATAATTTGTGCCAAACAACCCGATGTGAGTCTCACTGCTGTCGTGGAGGCTGATGCCAAATTACCTTACCCGCTTTAGTCGTTATTCCTCTCGAGACCCGGTAGGCGTGTTGTCGGGTCGGCTCAGGTCGCCTATCGTATGTTCCTTCCGTCATCTTCGTACCTCCGCCGCCTTCGACTTGGCTACTGTAACGTTTTCGGTTGCCGTTTCTATGACGCAACCTCATCTACATCGGTTCCTTAAAACCTCCAAAGGCCCCTTATAGAACGGCCTTATTCAAGGACCGGTTGGCCACTTGTCCTCCTCCTTCTTCTTCTGATCCCGTAACGAATCCCCACTATTCGATTGAGCCACAAACCTACCGCATGTTTACCCTCTTGGGCACACACGTACCTTTTACACGTCGGCACACACTTATACAAACTGTCCTTGCATCCGGCTTTCGTCCTTTTTTCACACAAAACAGGGTCAATACTGTAGAAATGCACAACAGAATGAGATTCGCAATGTGCGAGCGCATTTGCTTCAAGCCATCCTCCTTCAAAGCAGGTAGATTCCCACCAAGCAAAAAGAAAGTAAGAGAGTTGGGAACTCTTTCGTTTTCTGTCAGTTACGTAGCGACGCAACCTGTCTTCATTCTTCGTTTCTCGAAAAACGAGAGTAGCGGCAGTGGCAATGGTCCTGTTCTGTTTTAGGACTAGTACTTACAGCGGCCGTAGTCGTGTCGGCATCACCCACTATGGTGGCATTTATCTTCACTCGGTTCAGCTCATGATGACTATATGGTGTGGCATTTAAATCCGGAGAGACTTTAGTAAGCTGTTTGTTGCAGATAACATACATTCTTCTGCTGCTCTTTATACCAGATATCTTTCTTGGAAAAAAAATTAAAAGATTAAGTTGACAAATAAACTCCATCGATTAGTTTTTCTAAGAGCTTTTGCATTATTTTAACCGTTTAGCTGTTTTGAGCCCTTGTATTTTCGGGACTCTTGGCCCGAAGACAGCACAAAAAGCCCTTTTTAATACATTTAGGTTTTTTTTTTTATAGAAAAATAAACACACGTCTAGCAAATGGAATATCAGTTAAGTTGTCAATCAGAAGATCAATGTCAGTTAGATTGATTGACTTGTTAAATTCTATCGGCTAGTTTTTTTTCTGAGATTCGTTGCACTCTTCTGCATTTTTCTTCAAGTTTTCAGCTTTAATATTTTCGGGGCTTCTGGTCTGGCTGCAGCTCAGAATTTTACTCTGCTGCAATTTTTTTGTATGTAGCGTATTTAAACGACACTTGGACAAGCTTGTATCTAACAAGAGTGTTCGATGTAAACTTGCTATCAAGAAGTTATGCGCTATGTGAAAGAAGAAAGGTTTTTTTTGAAAATGATCGATTAGTAGTCCAGATTCCAAATCGAAGCTGTAGTCGCGATAGATGATGATGACGACGTCTCCAACCATAATATGAACAAGGCAGTAGGCCAACGTTGACACTGTTATTTTTTATAAAAGATATTCTAAAACTGCGGCCTGTGTCCGACAAGTTCCAGAATCTGTCCCTTGTCATTTTTGCTAGATCGACTGCTATATACGAACTTCTTTTTTCACCACAAGCCTTCTAAGATTTCTATAATGACATCTTTATAAGACCGTTGCTTCTTTCCACGTAACTTTCCTTCTAGATTGAACAGAAGTTCACAAACAGGGGACAGTTGCAGTTACACCCTGCTTCTGGACATACTCCAATCTGCGCTGCTTCAGAAATTGCCATACAGACCTCCTCCAATAAATTTGCTATATGTATCAAATACCTGTACCTGCAAAGGTTTAGAGTAGCGTTTGCCATTTAAGCAGCTTCCATTCCAATGCTACTCTATGTTAGCTCGAGCAAAATCCTAGAGGGATCATCGTGGGTGTAACAAATAACTGACATGGAAGTTAAATATTTCCAGCTCTGACAGATTTTGTTCGTTCTTTTCTTTTGAAATTTAGGGTAGAAAACTTAGACAAACTCCGCACGGGCAAACCGGTATGTTATTTATAGAGTAAACCTCTCTACGATGTAGCTTTTGCTGATATTGCACCGCAAGATGCATATAGAGACATACGGATCAATCGAGTGACGTAACTGCCGCCACCAGGTACATTCAACGCAGTTGTGAATGACGACGAGACTACATCAGGCTGAATCAGCTAGCCGTATATCGTTCCTTAAATCGAAGTCTGTCTGAAACTATATTCATTTGCTATGTTTACTTACTTCACGGTGCTGCCAATGTTTACGATTCACTAACCTTGCATGCGTTCGGCACTCCCAGTCGGCGCCCAAATACACTAATGTCAATTACTCATCACATGTAAACTTCAGCACTGTTTTACTTACTCCTAAAAATCGAAATCACAGGCGCCCCAAGTTAGCGCCAGTAGCTGCGACTAGAACGAACGGCTCGCGATGTCGAACGAAAGGAAAGGATGCACGCACAAACAATACCACTAATAAATCAATCATCGATTTTCCTTCTTTGAATTTCGATAAATAACGGTACGGTTGAAGAGAAGCGAAAGCCCGACTGACCGCTGTCATTACGAGGTGGAAAAGGCGGCCTCAAGGGTTTGCAATGGCTCACTTCAAAGGGCGCTGCCATGAGTGAGTGACGTCAGCATCGATTTCAGTATATGGTCGTCAGTTTCGGTTATCTTTAGGCTTCGCTCGATTTTCTGAGAAGCCTCCTCGGATTTTCTGTCTGTCTTAATGGATCTGAAAGCTGTAGAAATCAATTGTTGGTTTGCACCTCGCAAGGCGCAGCTCGTTTTTGAAAAGCGAAAAATCTAGCCGAGCGGATCGGTGCAGTCTCATGCTTCAACCGTGTCTGGGGTACGCGCGCGACCGAAGTTCTACTATAAATGCAGTCTAAGATAGCGCCTGCGAACAGCCTCCTTTCTTCTCGTTAGCGGCCAACCCTATCGGAGAAGACTAACCGTTAAGTTAACCGTTAACTGAAATGTGGGGGAAAGAAGTCTAGTAAAAGACAGTGGTCTAAGCAATAATCTTTATCTAGATTTAATAAGCTGTAGCTGAAAATAGTCAAAACTGCGATAGATAAAAGCCAGGGAGGTAGAAGGATAGTGTCCTAATAATTATGTGTTGTACGGTTCTTCTATGGCACAGCGTTGAAAGCTTGTCGATCGAAGTCGTCAGACAACAAAATGTCAACTTTGAATAAATTCTTTTGAAAACATAGTGGCAAGTTAGAACGCAATTACTCTCCTTAGCTATGATTTAATTTCAAATTATCCCAACGATGTGACGTTTACTTAAAAATAGCTGACTAACACCCATAACAGTGTGGCGGTAGTGCGCTGGCCTACCAAGTTTAAGGGGACATGAGGTTCACGGTTCAAAATCGGCCGTCAGTAAACTTCGTGCTGTGCTGGGAAGGGCCGGCCGTTTGAAACAATGCGTAAAGCTCGGATCATTTATTTGAATGCAGCTACCTAAGGTCTTACAAATTTTATACAACCCAAGTTCAAACAAAAATTAGATTGTGCAATAATATGTGCACTCACCCGTCCACTCGAGCTGAATTGCAATCCTTAAAGGACGCTGCATAGAGTGTTACTCGGGCTGGAAGATGTGACATCTAATAACGGTAAAAGTTTCTGTTTATATGCTACACTTAAATATAATACTTTATTAATAGTTTCCTTCTAACGCACGAAACACTCACGCTAGGCTATTCCACGGCAAGCGAGTGCCTCATATTAGGTCAGGAAGGGTTAAGGAGGCAATTGCAGGATGTATGTTAAACTACAAAATTCTTCTAGTATGACTAGCCACGTATAGCTTGCAAGACGTTATGCCAACGTTCCATTTTAGAAGCCTGGATAGCTCCTCCTGTACAGCGTAACAATGACGCGGTTGATATTTCTGGCTTACGTGTCGACTTGGAGCGGTCGCTTTCGGTATCATGACTATTTTTGCAATAGAAAAGAGACGGCAATAAACCAATTTGCATTTTACTCACGTCCTATTCACGTCCTATGGCGTGCTGTGCCGCAATTGAACCTAAAATTCATACCAAAAACTTTTGTCTGGGGAATTATTTCAAGATCTATAACGAGAGAGGCGCAGAGGCAACCCAACAAAGCACACTTAGCCAGTTTAAATTCTACTCAGTGTTTCTCGAACTGTGATAACTGGCACAGTCCTTTCTACTGCGCCCCTAAAAGTACCAACGTCAGTAGCCTTATTTTGCATTTGCGGGCCTACGGTTTCTCATACAGTGTCTGTGCCCAGTCGTTAATGGCCTACTTAGGACCTTTTCATTATTTATATTAAGATTTACGTGTTCGCAACGAAGAATGCGACTTTTCGATTTTTTTTCCTCCTTTCGCTTTTTGTCATCTTTGAATTTTCAGGGCATCAAGTTTTTGCGGCGTTTCAAGCAGCTGCTTAACCCTGCACAGGTGTTTGATCTGATGGCCCCCAACGGGGGGCCCCTATTAGGTTTAAGGCTATTTAGTGCGTTTCATACGTTCCGCATCCTTGTGTGTGGGGGAGACGGCTCCGTGAGCTGGGTGCTTAGTGAGATAGACCGACTTAAACTGCACAAGCAATGCCAAATCGGTAAGTGGCGTTATTGGAACCGCTGATAGCTAGAAGTGACTTGTAGCACATAGGTCTGTTGTTTTTATACGTGTTTGTACAACGTGGAAAATCCACTATTAGTATTACAACCTTCACGGTGTGCCCCGCTAGTATAACTTAACAATATTTTTATAGATGCGTATTAAGATATAGTCAATAACTACGATTATTTCACAGTTTTGGTGTCAGATATATATTTTGGTCATAGGAAAACTTCTCAGCGGTCACAGCCGTAAGGGAAATCTGTTTTTGAATTTTAAAAAATTTTTGCTGTTCTTGAGCACTAACCCATATAGAATAACCCGTGAATAATCATATTGTTCCACATAGATGCATATGTAGAGTTTGCCATATACTCCTCGTCCACTTAACGATAAATGATTATAGCTCAAGCTCCGACTGGTAGAGGTGCTATTTATCAGTGTACCTGTTTAAATTTTGCACAAACCAGAAAACCAAATAACCTTCTAAGAGTCGAACCGTGAAGCGCAGAATCTGCTGAGAACTCTATTAGGTTTAGGGGTGCCTTACAGAGAGGTAATCGGATGTGCTTTTTGCGGCGATCTTGATAACCGAAAATGCTTTAATGAATAGGTTAATAGTCGTAAATTTATTGAAAATTTCTTTACTTCCGTAACTGTTGGTACTAAGGGGTCGCAAAACCGTCATTGTCATGATAGACTTATTGCGCCAATTTTCGAGACCCTAAACCATGGGAAATACACGTAGTATTCTGTGCACGTGATTCAAAATAGGTATCAAAATCATTATTTTTGTTAAGTAACAACAAATTCCTGGCCATTTGTTGTTGCGCAAATCATTAGGTTTCCGGCTTCGAAGTGCCCATGCTTGACTACACATATAGATATAAAAATAGATCCTTTGAGTTCATCTTTCAAATCATTGATAGGCTTCGTGAAGCTACATAGCTTTACATTACAGTTCATATTCGCACCCTGTATCTACGGCCGATAAGAACGCGTCCCTTATTCTGCGTGTTTCATATAGAAACGTTTTTCCCTCTTGTATGGTAATATCACAATTGCGATAAGCGATTGTGGGCGCCTGTCATTTATGACATTTAAGGTACACGATATTTCCAAGTACAGAAAAGGTAGTAGGACACATATACACACAGCGAACAGGGATATATGGGCATTGTGCTTATCTGCAATTTACCCTCAGATAGCCCAAATTGTTTCAGTCGTTACCACAGACTTCAGAGGCGTTAACTGGCTCGTATCAGCTCCCTTGGCGGACTAGTTGACAATTGCTTACGAGACCTAGAGGCATTGCCAAATAAAAATACCTCTAATTAGTCATAACGATACATTAGAGCCCTTATCGGAAGACAGAAAGCAGTACAAATCATGCACCACCACACTGTTGTCTTGTGGCCGACTCTTACTTCCAAGAAATGCACATTTTTGATGCTGACTTAATTGATGAGTAAATCTCAATGTTGAAGGTAACGTAAAACAGCCTTCTAAGGGCATCCATAGCAGCTGTGACGCAGGTTTTGCTTTGCTAAGTACGGCAATCCGTCCTGGTACCGAATTGAGGCAATGCTTCAACAGGGCACACAAATGGCTATTTCATTTCAATTTAGAGTGAACTTAAGCAGCAGATCGTTCCGGCAAGAGAATGTTTGTCTTTGGAATCTCAGCCACTTCGAAACGAATAACAGCTGGAGACGTGTTGAAGGATGATTTCACATGTGGGAGCCGCCCCTAGCGTCCTGATGCACAATTTTTTCAATGTGATCTGTTCCAAGATTTTACAGCTCAAGCCCCCTATTACCAACCTTTCACAGCCTGAAGTCTACTGCTGATATTATTGTTACATATGATAGATAGTAGTATCGTGTTTCTCCGCGGCCATGATAGCTTAAAAGTTAGCTACTGAAACAGATGGCCAGCCGTTCAGCACCTTTCCAGAGGTGTGCACTCCTATACGTTCCGTTGAAAAGGATTTACCGTCGGAGAAAGATAAGCACGAAACTGGGCTGAACTGTGTACGAGACGATGATGTGCCCATTTTTGAAAGAAGAGACACGTTCGCTGTGGCTTAAGTGGGCGTGATGATGGTGGATAGTTTATTCTACTTTATCTAGGCGTAATGGAACGAATTGGGGTCTGGGCTCCGGCAAGAGTCCGTCAAATGTGGGCGTCAAGCTCAAAAATCAATTTACAGATAGTCATAACAAAGGAAAAAAAAAACAAAATCACGTTGATTTTGTCCTATAGTTAAGTTACACATGTAGGTTAGACATGTACACTATATATCGAATGAACGATGTCAATAAGTTATTACGACTAAATGGTACATTTGTATGCAGACCTTTGTGGCCAACGATTTCAAATCGTCACTGTAGACATCGTATGCGATATTCACTAACCACCATGCCTGTTGGTATTTTGATGTTGCATCTTTCTGGAATACGATTTGCGACGGGTTTGCGTGTCGCTGCTGCGGACACGGGGGCTATGTGAACCTTCGTCGGTACCTGGAACTTGACCCAAAAGGTGTCTTGCCTCTGGGCACCGGCAACGACCTGGCCCGGGTTCTGGGCTGGGGTTCAGTGTGTGATGACGACTCTCAGCTGCCACAACTGCTTGAGAAGTACGAACGTGCCACGACTAAGCTCCTCGATCGCTGGAGCATACTCACCTATGAAGGTATATTATCATGTAATTATATATGGGTTCTCGTTGTATTTAGACGAACATTTTTCAGTTACGCTTGATTGTACTTTTAGTAGCTTTTCTTATTATTAAAAAATTGTGTCGTATTGATTGTGTCGCTGGAGGAATGGCAAGCAGCAACTTCTGATCTTAACGAAAAGCTTGGTGGTCAAGAAGTCTGTTTAACTTGCTAGGGTGCTATCGTGCTGATAATAAGAAATGGTATAAATAGAACGTACTTGATATTCATTTTGAACTTTAAAGCGTCATAGTATTAAAGCAAAGGTCTAGAACATAGATTGATGAGTAAACCAAATAGGATTATTGTATTCCCGTCATGGTGCAGCGGGTAACAAGTGTACGTGTTAAGGTTAGGAACACATGGTGGCCTAGGTTCGAATTAGGGCGAAGGCTGCCTAAAGTAATGCTTAATGGCCTAACGTAAAACAAGCAAAAATGTACTGTACGAAAACGTAAGCTAATCTAATAACCTGAATTGTACGCAACTGCAACGTCAAAGACTACCGCGTACTCATAGGTATTTATTTTAAGATGCACTTGCTTATCTAATATAAGGTCTAAAGTGAACACATTTTTATGAAACACTTACGCAAAACTCGAATAAATCGTGGCCAAGCAAACCGTCTGCAGCTGCCCCGGTTCACGGATGCTCACTACGACTACTCTTTCTTGCTACCTGCTCTGTAACACACTACCTTTCACGCATGACGGTAATATGCCTTTTTTGTCACATTTGCTCTTGTACAACATTGTAGCCCGGTTATGTATTCAGAGAACGATTTACTTCTCCTAGATATTTGTCAGTGTGTTCTAGTTCTTTAACGTGTCTTAACCGTTCCTCTCGGTTGTGCTCCATGCCATATCGTTGCCCCTATTCTAGATTATACTGTTACACTACAGTGCAATAAAATGTTGACGGACAAATCCAAGCGGCGGGCGAAGAAGCGAATGACCCTCAGCTAAAACAAAAAAGAAGAAATCGAAAGCCAGGGGCATTAGGGGTAGCGGCGGCCGACACGTTGTCCGTACTTGTAGTGATTATAATAGTGAACGCGGTCCTTCTTTGTACTCGTGCGCCATTGTGTTGGAAGTTATACGGCCCTATTGCTCTTCTGATCACCCCAGTCTCCAGCATTATACCGTTAATGCTTTTTGTTTGAATGAGGCCCCTCCACTTGATTCTGAAGTGCCTACAATTATTCTTCTGGCAGTTTTCCTCCTCTGCTTTATCTATCGCAGTATGCGCCACGCATTTGCGTCTGAGCCATGCATCGCACTGCTTCCAATATCTAACCGGGTTCTTCCTCCGATTCTCCAACCGATTGAGCCAATACCAGGCGAACAGCGACGAAGTCGCCATCACTAACTAAAGCAAGTAAGTTCATCCAATGCAGAAGAGGCCCCACGCGCGAGGAGGATGTTGACTTCGACTTAGCTTTGCTATATATGCTATCGGCAGACAAGAAATAAGCATGCAACGACGGCATGAGGCGTCACTGGGAAGCGAACCTGTTTCAGCCGCTGCCAGACACCACTGAACAGACACCGAGCAGCAGCGTGGAGGAAAGATATGGTAGAAAAAAAGGAGGAGGGTTTTAGCGAGCCTTACATGCCCCCAGGGGCCTAGGAGAACAAAAGGCAAACTCTATTTTGCAAGACAATGCTCCCTCAAGTTTCCCAAATCCAGCTCGTTTGCCCACCTCTCAGATTTCATCGTCTTTCCTTCTGCATTTAGTCAGTGTCTGTGCTTCCTTTGCCTTATCCATTTCGAAGTTCATCTGGCGCCTTCTGGTCGAACGCCAGCAACGTCGTAGTCAGCTGCAGTCGCCTTCATTTGACACCAGTAACGGGCGTTTCGGCAGAAGCAGTCGAAGCGGCTGTGGTAGCGGTAGCTTCGGCAAACGAAAGGCTTGACCTGGCGCGCCTCGCTTAACTTGTCAGTATGGTCCTGTTTGTTTAGCACAATCATTCGTTGCGAAAAATTAAAAAAAAAGTTGAAACGAGAGGAAGCTAGTTAGGTTAGTCAGTAAGTGTGTCGAAGCGAAACGTTTCTTGTATGGACGCGCCCTTGCAAAGATGCACAGACGACTAAACACATATATATGTAGATTCGATTAAATTCATAGTTTGATGTATGGCCACTATTAGCTACGACGTGACATAAGAAACTTCAATACATTAAGTTTCCGAATGATGTATTTATTATTTCCTAAAGAGCGATAACAAAGCTCACTTTTCCAAGAAAAAGACGGTCCTTAGGAGGTCACTTGGCCTTTGGTCTTTTACCTTAGATAAAACTAGATCTTTCACCTTAGCCTATGGCTGTCACTTTGGTGGCTTATTTACTAACATAAAGTACATTCTATGAAAGTGATTTTAACAAGGAGCCCGCTCTGGCTATGAAGCTTTCTTTTTGTCAGAATTATATCAGTCTGCTATTAAAACGCTGCACCCGGGAAATGAAAATCTTAAGAAAATGTTCAATTCGAATTTTTGCATCTTTAATTTTTATATTCTACAAGTGAGAGCAATTCCTTTTTTGATATAGAGGTTTTTCTCTCTCTTATCCACACTGTATACCTAATATCTAGGTTGCCGTACTAAATTCCGTGATATAAAATATTGTGTCTTGCGGTCTAGTTATTCTGCATTATGGCTATTTAAAGGAAGTTATCATCATTATTATTACACACTCAAGCTGAAAGCTTCATGTTGCAAAAAGGACAATTTGGCTCGGTGCCTCTTGGGAGTCGACACATGCGACATTCGTAGATGTAGTGGATAAAAAGTTACCTAATGAATGATAAGGATGATAGTTTTACAAATCGGGCCTAAAGGAGACTATAGGTCCTTCAAAAGGCAGAGAAAAAATGTGGGAATCTGTCTCTATATCAAATATTTAGCATTCCATTTATAACTTTATTATTCTGTGTTCCGACAAATGCTAATGATAACTGTCCGATAAACTAGAGTCTAGAGGTTTAACATAGGTCGTCTGCCAGAAAACCCCAACCTTCGCTGTCAGTGTTTCTCTACATAAATCTCTGGCGTTGAGGCTGTACCGTGCATCTAATTTAGACGGATCACCTGACTGACCTTAACAATAATCAACGAATTCGAGATACGGCATAGCCTGAAAAAATCAAATGGTTGTTAATTGTCAATAAGCTTTGAATAAATTGGTTTGTTACAAGGTCAACGATATCGATGACCAGCTGTGCTCAATAAAACGCGGGATGCTTACCCCCATCTGCCAGCCGAGGATGCCAATGGAACCCACTCCTAAATCCAAAGCAGTTTAAAAGATCGTCTAGATATAAACTGTAAAAGATATAAACTGAACGTCTTACTATAGGGCAAACATTGTTTAATATATAGCAAATTCATTTTGGCGTGAAAAATAAAAGATAATCCATATTTTTGCTATACTAAAATATTAGGCCTAGGCTTGGCTAAAGTTGGCTTATCACGAGACCATACTAATTGCGCATATATGACCACAACAGCATGGTCCGTATCACAGGGCAGAACTGTTTTAATCCACCGAAGCTATCTAACTAGATTCCACGCCAGTGACTTTCTTCAAGGTGACTACGACGATCAACGCTTTCGTAATCCTACTATATGCCAATCGTTGACTGACCCGAGGAACTCATCGTTGCTTATGGCTTACTCTTCCATTCATTTGAAAATATAAACTTCTCTTTGATAACTTCGCCGTTACCAGTTAACTTCAACTTGATCCAGACGGAAGTTATTTCATAACCATTTTATACCGTAGCGCTAGGGTTGAGAGACCCTGTTCACTAAATCCCGCGCATTGAGTCGTCATCACCCGAGCAACGCCGTGGATTACGTGAGCACAACTGCCACATTCCACACCATACTCGGAACAATATTTAAACTATAGCTTCAAAGATATATGTGGCGTTCTCTCACATTTCCCTATCTCTACACACATACGCATACACATTGACATGGTGTTTCTACTCATAAATCTCTGCAAACATTGTCGGAAACATCTACATACTATAAACCTCTTTTTTGTTTGTTTGCAAACCAAAGCTGTAGTTCGAAACACTCCCGTTACATAGATGTAGGTTACAGTTTCTTTGAAACAGGTCCAAGTCTCATAGAAACCGGTTGCAAGGGTAAATTAACAGTGATGCGGTTAGTTAATTAGGGCGTGTTCAGAACAAAAGTTAATATATTCGGGCCTTCCGAACAACTCAGAACAAGTACCCTAATATTTTTTTTACTGTTAAAAAAACATGATATCATCGATTAACAGCCATTCGAATAAGGCTGCGCGCTAATGGACTTGCTTCGAAATAACTTGGACCAAATCACTGCCATTTTGACCGCTCGATCGCCCTTAGTAAATAGATGTTTTATAATGATTATAACTACGAAGTAATGGAGAACGAGCCATAATAGGTGGCAGAACTGATATACGCTGCAAATCAGAAATCTCCGTATCTGAGGATATCTAACAGCCCACTTCAACGGACTGTGGAATAGCTCCGCTAGATTGTGCCATTATTCCTCTGCAAGTTTCTTCGGATATCGCTCTGTCCGCCGATCAGACCCGTTCAGGCAATTCAATTAGCAAAAATGCAGCTCGTTAACGATCGTATCGATGTACTTATTTTCGCTAGGTGTTCTTTACCAAGAGTGAGTGACCGAGAGCGAAAGACCACCATTAACGTCCCGTTTTTTGTCGGCTAAGTAACGATTTGTCGCCTATATTTCTTGCTGTTTCCATCGGGATGATTGTCGCATTATAGGTCCGCTGCCAATGCCGAGGAAGCTTTCCCAGCCGTATTCAAGTGTTGGCGCAGGACAGCAGCAGCAAAAGGACGGTAATAATGAGAAATTATTAGGTCAAAAACAGGGCGGACAAGACCAGGGTAAACGACGAACGCAGCAGGAACCGATCGGTGCCAAACAGACCGGCGCAGAACCGCAGCAAGCGCAGATTATTCAGGCCGAGTGGGACCAGTCCATTTCGCGACTCGAAGGCTCAGTGGTGGACCATCTGTCGAAAATCCTCGAGTCGGACCAACATTGTGTTGTGAGTTGGTTTGTCCTCGCGTTCGCTCGATATTCTTCTAATTACATACGTTAAATAAATACGTCGCTCGCTTATTGACATTGGCTATTTTTCCTTGTCTGTTATCACCATCAGTATTTATATTATTATATTTATATATTTTGATCGGCAAAGAATTGACGACGATGGTTTTACCGAAGTTACAATGGACAATATCATTAACGGCAAACAATGAGAAAAATTTACACTACCATAAAGCTGCTATTGCACTAAGGACTCGTTGTTTGAAGCTGTAGATATTACTATTCTTATTATTGTTAATTTAATTATTCGGCAAGAGCCCCCGCCGTTCGACATTAAACAAAACCTCTCATCCTATTTAAAATGAAAAACGTCTCGGCACGATGGGGACGAAATCGTGACGGTGGATATTGATCGCCTGAAAGGTTTCGCATCTAGGAAGACAACGAGATCAAATTTTTTGGTACCTCATTCCCAATAATCTGCAAACAGCAGTGAAATTGAAAATACCTAATCATTTGGTAATCAAACGGATCGGCCTGAGTTTATCGTAGACATCATAACATATATTTATAACAATCTCTGTCCAAACATTACGTTAATCACTATCAAGGTCTTCATATCAGATCTAATTACTCGAATTTTCATCGGGTCAACCCGAACCTGACTGAGTTATAACTATACCCTAACCATCTTTTCACCAGTCTAGCCCTTGATGAACATCACGAGTGAGAAACACGCACTTTACGATCTAGATTCTAATCCGCGACGGTTTTTCTTTTCTCCGCGGTTCTGCGTAAAGAACGAGAGTATCAAGGATAAAAGGTAGTAAGGCCGAATAAGGCAATACGGACCAGTTTAGCGCATAGATATCTATATCTATTTATTTCTCGGATCGTTGGAATTATCCGCGGTGTAGCAACGGGACCATGCGGCCATATTGGCAAACAGTGGGTAATCGCTAGGTCTGCTTCATCTAACAAGGTGGACGAAGGGCGTAACTCTCGCACGGAGACACTCAGTGCATTTGGGCTCAGGTCGTTTTTACTGGGCAAAGAGAGCAGTTCCTATTCACCTATTGAAGAAATGCAAACTCCTCGTTACAGGTCTTTGTACACGATGTATGTAGCTATACACATGACAGACAAGTTCAACATAACTGTGGAAATATTATAATGTATCTCTGCGCTCTTTGAAAATTGTAACGTATCTCAAAACTCGCTTGATATTGTATATAATAGGTTCGTAATGTAGCCATGGATTGGATGTAATGAAGTCAATTGTCGGTAGTTAATGGATTCATTAAATCGAAATTCATATATATATATTTTATATACTATTTTGCCGGACGCAGGTGATATCATCGGCGCGCGTTCTTTGCGAGACTGTACGAGACTTTATTCTCAAGGTCCAGTCAAGAACCGAATGTGAAGAGATAGAGGCGAAATGTTCGGTGCTCAACGACAAACTCGATAGCCTTCTAAAGTCCCTGCACGAAGAGGAGCTAGCGCATCAGGCAATTGATAGCCGACCAGCAAGCCAATCGAATGTGGGAATGATGACAGCAGTAGCGAACGTAGCCGCTACATCCGTTGGTGTTCCGGGGCCTAGTCAGGTCCATCAACGGGTCCTGCCAAGCCCGAACGTGTCACCGAGCCGCTCGCCCCAAAGTAACTACAACAATAACAAAAACAACAATAATAGTAGCATAAATAACAACAACTTGAGTAACAGCAGCGGCAACAGTAGCGCAAACAGGAATGTGGTCAGTGCAGGGGAAGCAGCAGTGACGATTGTGGGCTTCACAACTTCCGGAAACATCGCCAGCACTGCCAGAGATGGAGGCCGCAGTCCGAATGTACCACCGTCGGTTATTCCTAGCAAGGTAAGTCGTCCGTTCGAAAGTAGAATAGCAAAGTACGATATATCGGTAGGCCAAGCTGCTAGTTGATAATTAGCAGCTAAATCTAGGGCCGAAGTTCCGAGTGGCAGCGCCATCTCAGGAGTTGAAGCGCACGGGAAAAAGGGGCAATGCGAAAAGAGCGAAAAAGAGGATGCAAAGACAGCAGAAGCATTTCGGAGTTTAACTGGTTCGTATTGATGCGTAAGCTGGCAACCGGCTGGTCTGCTTAGTCGGTCACTTCCCAATCTGACATATAGCTGCGGCATCCCGTGGGAACTGCACCATCTGGGCGCTAGTTCTCACATTTTAACTCGAGTCGCCAAAGAAAACGTAGCTAGAATACAATGCAAGACAGCTGCATTGAGTGGCGGCAACTAAGGTTCTGGTAGCCAGTGACGCCTGCACGAGCCCAAGTGCTGCTATTTTTGTCACAGCTATACGTGCTTGAAAGCGTGGGTACACATTTTTGCTGGTATGGTAGTGGCTAGCGCGACTCGGCCGGGAAGAGGGGCTCTGGACGGCAATAAGACTGCCCAGCCCAAACATTTAGAGCGCGGTTGGTTTAGAGCTGACGAAGGCAACATAAATTAGGAGAAAGAAAAACGTGTGCAGTAGAATGCATTATCTATATAACTGTAGTGGGCGTCTGTGTGGGCGCATTTTTCGAAAGACGCTAACTGTGCATGCAGATGTGAGTAGTCCAGCGTCCATAGAAGTGACGAAGTTATACAACGTCATCGTACATTGTTGTACCATACGACGCACGTGTGTAAATAAAAGCTGTTTTTTTTTCAGATGATTGCGGCCTTTGCTTTAGAGGATTTGCTCTTTTTTGCCACATTGATTTCTATCTTATCACTTCACTTGTTCCGCTCACTATTTATTGCCACTTTTGCTATTTTACAGATAAGCGGGTGCACTAATTTGTTGCAACGTGAAGCGCTTATGTGTCGCGCTAACAGTCTTAAAAAGGCTCTTCGTCAGATTATTGAGCACACGGAGCGTGCCGTCGATGAACAGAACGCTTTGCCTGATGACTGGCGAAGGTCAGCAGATGAAAGTGGCGCTACTGCGGGCGGCAATACATCATCGCCACTGGTGCCAGGTAGTAGGAGAAGACACAGTAAGGAAGGCGTGGCCATTCCCGCGTCCAGATCGGAATCGGTGTCTCCAGTACCGGTGGCAGGCTTTCCAGAAAAGGGCGGGACAGATGGCCTGCAACGTTGGCAAGAAACACGAAAACAGGCAGAAGTCGCAGATGGATCTATTGTCGCAGCACGGACGTCTCCCGCGAGCTTCTCACCACTGTTAGGGAACAGATACAACAACAGTGCAGCCATCGCTCATGATATCTCCCTCGCATCGGAGGTTTTTAGCGCTACGGCTATCGGCGGGGTTGACCGTGAACGACGAGATTCAAACACGTCACTGTCAGCGAATATCACTGGACTAAGAAGGAACCGTGGCGCAATGGCAGCGGACACAAATGTCATGCAAGGTTCGTAGTAGTAATCGAAAGGTCACTTTTACTTTTTGCACCTATCATTAGGCAAAGTGGAATGGAATCAATGATCCTATCGAATAACTCAAGTGGACTCGATGAAATCGAACGAGTCCCTTTGTTTCAGTAGTTGTGTTTTATTTCTACAGTTAGTCGTCTCTCTCTCTCTCTCTCTCTCTCTAACGAGCGAATGAATGGAGTTCAACATCCACTCTCTCACATTGACACGTTCTCACCGTTAGTTGTCCTAGTTCACGATTTATAGTGATAGTTAAGTGTTTTGTACATCTAGTGGAAGCATTGGATATACAACTAGTGCAAGCTAACTCATGGATAGCCATATTTTTTTTGTGTTTTTCTTTTTCGTAGAACATTTATGCTACCTAACCGTTCTCCTGTCTGATCACTCGTAACTATAAATGACCTCATTAAAGATCTTGTGTTCATGCGGCAACAATGTCACGTACAGCGGATATGAGAATTACATCAACTGCCCAGAACAATGGCAACCTGAAAAGGACCAACTTGACTGATCGGCTTCGTACCAGTCGTGAATTTGAAACTGCAAAAAAGTTCAAGTTACAAAGACTGAAGGAATTAAGTTTTGAGCTGAAACGACAGCCGCGCACAATGTGTTCTTAGGAAACTTCTTCTAGTCAAAATTCGAGTTTTTCTCTGTATTATCCTTGAAAGTGGCATGTAAGTCCACAAAACGATGTAAGTGCATTGTTGAAGTTTGGACAGAGATGCCGTCAAAACTTTAAGGAATATAGGCTGAGTTATACAGTTGGCCTATATAAAATGTAGCCCAAAAAAATTCTTTCATTTGTCAATGGGTCGTGATGATTTCCTGTTATGCTTGGTCTTACATGGTAACTATTTTGACTGATGCATCCATTAAATGGCAAACCTTTGGTTGAATTAGATTTCGTTTTGGCATCATCAAGATGGAATCTTATTCGATACATGGAAATAATAAGAAAATCACATCTTCAACTTAAAACATACCGTTGGCGTAGCTTATTATACAAAAGGCGCATACGTATCGATTTAGTATGTATGTCATTAAAACAATGTAAACACGTGGTGTTTCGCCCGCGCGTTTTGCCGATTCCCTTACTTCTTCAGTGGTCACTTCCTCTTTCGGTGACCTCGTTGTTTGTTAATGGGATCAGCCAAGGCCTCCCTGAGTTCCTACACTCAACATACGTAGAACAAAATAACTGTAGAAAGACGATATGCTCTGTATCGTGTTCCGCCCGACAGGAATTCATTCATCCATCCATTCAGGATTCAATAGCATTCCATTTACTTGACTCTGGTGAATGCGGATTGTTATCTTTCTTTGTTGATTGGTGTTGTTGTCGTCTTTCTTGTTTGTCGTTCGTCCTCACGTGTCCATCGCACCATTCGGTCAGTTGTTTTGCTTTTCTTTGTGTGTTTGTCGATCTTTTTTGTGGTCTGCGTCTCCCTGTGATGCTCTGTGCACGTCGCTATGGCGTGGTGTCTTCGCAGATCGTTGCGAGCGTATGGCAACCATACCGTCCGCGCAATCGGCGTCATCGCTCGAAGAAGCCACGTCCGTAGCGTCGGCAAGCGCCGGCGGCGCAGGTGGAAGCTCGAGCTCACGACCGCATACGTTACCCATATTGGAGACGACGCCGGACTCACCTCAGCCAGCGCGAAGTACGACAACCACTATGTCAGACTCAGAACAGCCAAGTCCAGTGGGTCGAAGCCCAACGAGCGATGGCAGTGATCCCGATAATGAAGGGCTGGTAGGCACAACGCCTACCTACAGTTTGTTGCAACTGAGCTCACCAACCGCATCACGCCGAATTTCCAGTGGGTCGACGTTAAAGCACATCGGTAATATTGCCATACAATTAGCGGCAGCACCATCACTTGGTAAGTAATTACAAGACATAACAGATCATATAGTCTCGCAGGAGCCAGCCACAAACATGCCCGATCATTTAAATATCTATCTGCCCTTTTCCCTACGCTTATTTACAAGTTAAATGTAGCTTGAGTCGATAGGAACTATTATTCTAAACGAACTTTTTCCTAGTTCCTCAAACGTCGGTCTCTGGCTTTCTCCCCTTTCCCGTTACTCTGCCTTTACTAAAATAACGCCTATCCTTGTGATTCACTCATCGGAAAAGCTGAAGACATAACCCCTTAATGAATCGTTCTCTAACTCGTTTAGGTAGCGTTGTTTTTTTTTTCTTCTATTTTGCTATGGTTTGTTCTTGTCTCGGTGCGATTTTGAGAAGCAATGATGCCTGTATCAAATGGCGAATTAACTACCTATTCATTGGATTTGTGTATTGTGCAAGCATTCGTTGCATACAAGCACCTTACAATTAAGTGGGTGCACAAGTTAACGTTGGCACCATCTTTGTACACGTATTAGTTTTTACTTTTGAGCTTTCACCTTCTTTTCCGTCGCTGTGACTATTGGGGCGGCTATCGACCGTGACAATAGTATGTGCCTGCAATGTTACGACCTGCATACGTACGCTTATCTACGAGCCTGTATGTGCATCAAGCACAAAGTAACTTTTTCGTATTGTATTTCTATTCATTCTACATAGAACATGTAGGTTAAACGTTCGAGCCGGTTGTTTGTCCATGCATGATGATCCGTCCGGTAGCTGTCTACTTCGAACAATCAACTTGTCCTATAAACTAAACATAGGTAGATGTTTATTATCATAACTATTGTTTGCACCAGTCCACTATGAAGACTTTTCCGAAGGAACACTACTTCGGAGTACGATACGTTCATCGAAACGCAATGCTAGGCAAATAGGAAATGGTGGCATATTGTGGAAAATATAAATTATGTTCGAAGAGTGACATTGAGGTAATGAAGAACGAAGCTCTAATCATTTACTAAGGGAAAGTAGTACACGTGAGCAAATAACAATAAGAATTACGAAGCTGAGTTTTAAAATACAAACTCTATACTCAACATCGAATTTCTAAAAGAGTTAAGAAAGATTAGTTTTTGGTAAGCACAGCAAATTGTCGCTTACACACGTTAGAAAATGCTGTCAAATGGCTAGTGTGTCTCTTCCTCATAAATATCGTTTTACTTTACCTTCTTACAGACGTTCCTTACGGTATAGTGTCACGGCTGAAATGCAACTTGATTAAAGCAGACCATTTAATGCAGGCGAGATTATTAGGGCGGTTTCGTATACAATTTGTCTGACGGTCCATCTTCGATCACAATCACCGCGGACGGACCCTGGTCCTTGCTAAGGAACCCTGTAGCTCTTATCGCTCTCGGCGTTGTCGATCGAAACCTTTTTTCGCTCTGAAACATTTCCAAATAGATGCGTGCCCTTCGTAGGAAAGTGCCAGTTAATTAAATTTGATTGAATTGAACCTGATTTTACTTTGTTTCCGCCAATAGTCTGTCACATAATGTCGTAGATACTCTTATAGAGTCTCATCTAAAGTTCGATCTTACCACAAGGTAATTCAATCGAGTTACAAGTTGAGATAATTGATTTGTCGAAGTTACTTCTCTACCGAGAATTGTGTAAATTTTTTACTCACTCTTTTTCGTTAAAAGTGGGTAACAAACAATTTCCTTTACGGGTGAGATTCATATGCCTGTAGGAGAGTCATGGGTAAACCTTGTTCTATTTGTATTAAATCAAAGTCAGCCGAGACGCACCGAAATTCATTTGTGACTTTTTTCCCCTCCTGCGTAGATGTTGAACAGACCCAGCGACACCGTGTAGCCAATTTCTAACAGACCTGAGCCGAGCTCTACCTCTAACAGGACCCATGATCCGCTTATTACATTGCTTTTTTTGTGCTCCTTCGGTTTTCTCCAAATGCTGATGCCGATTCGACGTTCATTGAACACACTGCGTGATTGTCATGTGGCCCGTTGACGCACTGACGCACCATTCCATCGTGGCACTATTCCAATTCACCTTGTTCTGGCTCTTCTTTTTCTCTCTGCAATCTATCACGTTTCGTCAACGGGATTGTCTTCGACTGTCAACGTGGCCCTTCTCATCTGCAGCTGCTGGAGGCGGGAGCAGTCCAGGCGGCACTGGCGCAAGCAGCGGAGGTGCAGGCATGCTCCAGATCCCATCGGGCGGTGCGCGATCCCCCGACGTCGACGTGGATCGGCGCATATTTCCGATTATCAATCCGCTGGCTTCCTTGCCTGCGTGGCCAAATCTCGCTGGCGAAAGCAGCCTTGTTGGCAAGGCCCTTCTGGCTAATGCCGACGCACTCTGCGCTGCTGCCTCGCCGCTGATGGACATCGATGACATGAACATGTGAGTCTAACATTTGACGAATTCACTTGAATTCACGAACAAAATATTTTTATTGGTAGGTTGAAGTTTACCTGCCATAAGCGCTAAATTGTCTAAAATATTTTATATATTTATAGAGTGCAATGTATCTTGGTTATGAACAGTAAGCTCATCAGATTGCATCGTTACACATCTTTAAATAGAATCTATATTAGTTAGAGCTAAATCGTATCCTTATACTATGGCAGATAGCTCATGAATTATTAATAGCTGGGGAGACGCAAAGTTCTGGGCATACAAAACCTGAAGCAAGTTTTAACTTGTAACGTTTGCCTGCAAGTAAAATCACGTCCTAGCCTGATTGTCCTAGTAAGAGATTCCAGTGACCAGCCCCTCTGAAGAATGCCAACGAGTCTGACCATTGAAATTGCCTTTCCATATTTAGATAGGTGCCATCCAACGCGTACGAACACGACAGGCGAAAGAAAATGACAATATTTTGTATTATGTCATTTAGTAGAAATAAATAAGACTAAATTGAAATGTTGTATTTTGAGTACACAGATTCTCTTTTCGCTTTCGATTCTGTGGAAATGTTATGCAACTAAAAATAGATATACAAAACACAAATGAGGTTAGTACATGAAATAACATAATCTTCAATTAGAATCTTCAGGTGTGACCTAAAAGGAAAGCTTTCCACCTTGAGCACGCTTACGTGCAAAAGGCAAGAGAGTAAAAAAAAAAAAAGTATTAGAACGGAACGATTCTAGACCAACAAAATCATATTACTTTTTTTTGCAACGAAACGGTCTCGGCATAGAATACTAACAGGCCAATCGTGGTATAGCGCATAAGCGAGTTATGTTCAAAGTCGCTTAGACCCGGGTCGTCATTTCACACTTATATGAAGCCGAAAATAATAATAGCCTTGGGGCAAGCTTGTACCACATTTATACAACACGAAGTAAAATGGGTGCCAAGTTTTAGTCACAAACGGGTTTTAGAGATTGTTCTAAGCGGTCGGCCAAAAGAGCACTTCGGTGAAAGCTCTCTCGCTATGTTTCATCTTAAGAACAGAAAGGTTTGAACGAGGCTCCAGGCTAACATGTTTTTGTACGTCACTAATATTGAAATCGCACAAATTTTCTCCAGGACATTTTACGTAGTCTGCAAACAAACTGCCTAAAAGTCCGTTAGATTCTTCGTTGAACGCAAGCAAGGAAACATTTTTATGTGTATCGCACCTACTCTTCAGTGGCTTGATATTGGCAAGGTCCAAGAAGGCCATAAACGGCTACATCTATTAAGAACTGGTATAGTTTTCTCATTAAATGTTTTTACAAAATATTGTTCTTTCACACATACATCATAGTGATTTCTATGACCTAATGTGATGCATATGTATATACTAGCCTCATTGGCCAACTCGTCCATGTGATAATAATATTATTATTATTATTATTATTATTACCAGCAAAGCAGCATTTCTAAAAATCAGGCCTTTTTTCCGCTCGTGCAACCAGAAGATTGTGCCGGTCTATCCGGTACAAACCCTTTAGGGGGTATACTTCAACGATGCGAGCGAGCTTAAGAATCAAGAGATGAAAAAAGCCCGATCAGTTAGGAGGAAGATGGAGCAAACATTCCTAATTGAGTTCTCAGACGATGTCTCAAGAGAGCCCGGTACTGGCTTTGTTCTTGAGAAGCTGTACGTTTTTACGACTGAGAAAGCTAACTTGATTTTCGTAAAAACACGCCATAATCACCGCTTTCTTTTGTGAGACAAAGACCAGCCCTCGGATAAGCACTTTAGTGCATTCGAAATGTAGTTCCTATTTAAAAACAACGCTCTTGACTCCCAATTCGTTATATTTTTTGGTGGGGTCTGACTCCATGGCCGAGCTTTACATACAAATACGTCCAGGGCAGACACAAACTGCCTCGTTGGTGTCAGCCAGTAACTGAGAGTAGCTCTCTGAACGAGTAAAGACCGAGATGTCTGCGAAGTTGATGTCCTGCCACAACATTTTAGGCGAGCCACTCGCCGTATTTGAAGGCTTCAATGTTCTTATTTACAGCGGGTTCATTCCGACCCATTGAAATTTTTATGTTTAGAGTTTAACTGCAAGTGCACGCCCATACATTGCTTCCATCCAAACACCGTAACGAATCAGTATTATCATATCTTTAGGAAATGTTTAGAGTAGAAGCATCGATAGTTATGGTATATTTGTGAAAATATTCGTTTTTTTTTTAGACCTTTAATAAGTATCAAATAATTTATTATATAATTACTTTTTGAATCCATAAATTTGACCTTATAGATGGATGCCACCATTTATTTAGTTATATATTGACACACGTCTGCCTGTCGTGGTTAACTCAGCTCACAATTTACCGCAAATAGGAAGACCACGTTCTACCGATTCATGAACTGCTTCGGGCGCTTCTTCGAGCCAAGAAAAATCGTATTAAGTAGGCCTTGTTTGCGGCTCTCATCTCGTTTGGCGGGCCAGATAAATGTGACGCTCCAGACGATTCAGTGCCGCAACTGCTTCCACCTCCGAAGAATAGATGCAAAGAACGAAGTGAAACCACTTCACTTACTGGCAGGGACTGACAGTTATATGGTACACCGCCTATTTTAGGCATCGCTTACGTAGATAGGATGCAGTGTGTAGCTAGTGCGATGAGCGACCGCCTCTGGATGAGAAGGCTGGAACAATTGTCGTTGCGGACGTTACGGGATAATGATATGTTCGCCGTAGGAAGTCTTTCTTGTGTGGTGACTTCAACAGGCCCTCAGAAACAATGAACAGATATTACGTCATTCTTTTCTTATTGAAATCCCGCAAGCAGAAGCTTCACGTGACGTTATTTGTCACGGCACGGCTGATCTACTGATTGTTCTAATGGGAAGTTTTAATAGTTCAACGCAAGATAGCGTCAGAATTCGTGTTTTTCTAGCTGATGGTGCGTGGTGGCTAGCGGTGTGGACTAGCATTGAAAAGAAGAAACCTAATAATAGCAAGCGATGCCAACAACGATTGAATGGGTTTCCAGTAGCCACATAACTGGACATAATGAAGAAGCTATGGTTTTGTAAATATAGTCTGAATTACCTTGACAACTGTCAAGTGTGTGTTTCTACACACACGTACATTTAGAAGCTTTCAAATAATCATACTAGCAATGATACGAACTACCAGATTACAATTTTATAGTAACTAAATTTATCGCTAGATGCCGCGTGTGGACCAGTGATGCAGAGTCTTACACGATCTTTGTTAGCTGGACGTTTATAAAAGATTATACATATTTTGTTTGGAACCCATTTGCAGATGCCTGTGGGGAATATTATTCTTACTAGTGTTCGAGGAATCGTATTAGATTAACGATGTAACATTATGTAGTATATTGAAATTCCTAAAACATTCAAGCTACAAGACCAAAGGGAGCGAAGCCAATATGCAATGAGCTGCCCTGTATATAGTGAATTTATTGGGCGAGACCTAAGGCATGTAGAATGAATCTGTGTATTTTCCGACAGCAGTTCTAGAATAACTGAAAAACGAAAAAAAAAAAAAAAAAAACAAAAAACAAAAAACTTCTGTCAGTTATGAATAGTCGCTAAGATCCGAGCGTAGACGTTTGCTTTGTCATCTCTTTAAAGAGATAAGCGTGCAGCAAAACTCTCATGGCTTATTTTGAATATTTGCATGCATAAGTGTTTATCAAATACGTTGTTATCAATTGTTAACTGTCTTCGTACGTTTCACACGTTAGAGTTGGCTTTATCTTACCGATCAGGTAACTGTAACCTTTACTAAGAGCACAGGGCACGTCGATGCGGATTCATGTTACATTTTTCGTGCACGAGGACATGCATAAGCGTTGGGCCTAATGCTGTCGGTGTTTTTTATGCGTTGATCTGCTGAAATAGCTAGCCTCATTTTCGTACAATATCCTAGGCTGAATTATAGGCTAACAACTGAGTGTATAGGTAATTTTTGTTTTGAATAAATGACGATGATCTGGGGTCCGGTAGTTGCTCGAAATTTCGCCGAGTAATAAATAGTTGAATTACTATGAATTTTTTATTGAACTTACACAGAACACATCCGTACTTATCGTTAGTATTGCAGTGTTTTTTTCTACTCTTGAAACAATTGCTTCCCATAACTGCTCGAACTGCATTTTTGGCAAAGAACAATAAATAAACCCTACTCTGGTTTCAATATTTACAAAGACAGATTATAGTATTTGTCGTATTGCATGCAGGCCAAGTTACTGGGAAAATGGTTTAAATTTTCCACCGCCTGATATGGTTAGGCCAAGATTTCAATGGTTTTCTCCAGGCAGCTAGCTAGCTAGCTAGCTAGCGGATTGATCAGCGTCCTGATTGGAGCGTTATCGAACGAACCATCTAGGGCATAAATTGGATTTTCCTAACCGTGGAATTAACTTTGGAGACCGGCTCAGACACGTATGGAGGGTCAGGCAGCAATGACAAAGAAAGTCACACAGGTCCGCTAGTGCAATAAGCATTTTTATTAAACCTTACACGATGTTGAGTTTGAAGGGAAGCTTCAGCGCAGGCGTGACTAGCTTCCAAACAAAATGTATTATGTATCAGTTATTGCCAACTGGTAGATCAGATCTCTAACGTTACCAGAAAAATGACTGCAATACGACAAAGTTCGGTGTCGTAATGATCTCGGTTATTATACGCTGCCATCTATTGCGATACTTTGAAGGCGTGTGAGTAGGGAAAAACCCTTACTCCCAAAGGGACGCTTAGTGCGTGGCCCTAACAGGAAACGTCGTTGCTAATGCCTTTTGATATTTTCCCGTTGTTTAATTTAGGCATTTTTATGACACAGATGGAATACATGATATGGTGAACTGGACAAATAGATCTTCTATGCTGTATCCGTTGTACGCTGACAGGAGTCGCGACACGGGAAAAGGGTGCTACAGGAATCGCTTCTCGGACCAGATAGCGTCAAACGCGTTGACCCAGACACAAACTAGTATTTCAGCTCAAATCGCGTGTCTCAATCAAACATCTCCTGTGGGAAAATTATAACCTTAAACGCTTATGAATGAGAGAAAAAACGTGAATATGCTATTGAGTCGGCTGCGATTCGACGACCTATCCTTGTTCGTAGATGCTACAGCCTCATTAAATTAGTTATGTGAGCCTTTCGCTAGCTTTGCTCTCGCATAGTCTTATGAACTCGCTTGGATTTGCGATCTCTGTCGCTCGCTACGACGCAACGTATTGGCTCGCCCAGGCCCACCACGCATTTTCATACTGCGTGCTACGCCGTTGCTAGCAGCTGCAGTGTGGCCATCACCAGGAAGTAAATGAGTCTATGAGCGAATATTTGTGCCATCGTACCGTGAATCGAGAGAGCGGACAAGGAAGTCGAAGAGCGAAGTGAGCCAAACGGGACTCGTAGAAGAAGCGAAGCAATGCGTGTGACCCTGGATGTTAGGCTGGTTACGTCGGCAGGTCGACATGGTCGTTGGTTTGTATTGCAGCTTTTCGGCAAATTGTCCCACCCTCGCTATCCTTCTAGTAAGTGGCTAGTGCTGCTAGCGACCTTTGAAGAAGCAGGCGGCAGACGAACTTATTACTGCAGACACACGTACTGTTAGTGCGTTGGCGCCGCGAGTACTGCACATCTTACATTGAGCGAACAGTGTACAGATGGATGTGTGCATGACGTGCCTTTCACATAGCGTTCAATCAAGTACCAGGTCACGGCCGCAGCTATCAGGCTATCGCTTAGAAGTTGGCGTCTATTCGACAGATTAACCGGTTCGTTCAAGGTTTGCGTTTGGGCCACGGGGGTTGTTAACGGAGCTGCTGTCGCTGAACCAGACTGCGCTGACCGGAGCCGCGAGTCGGGCAATGCCGACCCTGACCACCGACCCACCATCGGCCATACGTCCGAGTTGTCCATCATGTTATCTCAATGGCGGACGGACTATGACAAACAGTATGTATCACAATGACTTGGGAAACTGTTTTACCGATGTCCTTTTGAAAGAATTATAGACGACTCACGTCATTGCGTCGCAGCCGTTTAGTGCCAAATCTCACGTCTCACTGGATCGAGAAGACATTCATATCGTCAGAAGCGGCTACGAGTGGAGAGAAAAAAAAGAGGGGCGTATATTTGCTATGTACATAGCAGTAACGATTTTGTTTTCAACAAGCTACCTTTCTATTGAAACCGAGTATATTTTAAGGACCCCGTAAGGCGACGCCACTCTTCTAGCTACCCCAAACGATCATTGTTATAAGGCATTCGGTTCACTCGAGACGTGTTTGTAAACTTTTACCTCCTGATCGGTTTTGGCCGCAAAAGAAACTATTTATCGAAGCCATACAGTAGCAGAAGCCACTTGAGTCGCCAGACGAATTTTTTTTTCTTTCTTTCTTTTATTACTATATTTGATATACATACATATATATTATAAATTCAAGTGATTTCTGCGAGCGTGAAAATTTTTCATTAATTATCTTGTCTTAGCTAGCCTGAATGCCGAACATCGTTGTACAGAGCAACTGTTACAGCATCTACTCAATAACAGTTCAATTTATGTCAAATTTGTATATATTTATTATTCTTTAGCCTCGTATCATTAGGAGTAGTGGCAGGCAAACGCCTTTGAAAATCTAAAAATATGCAGCCATCTATGGACACTATGGCACAGGTTGTTTTTTGAAATATATATATATATATTTTTTTTTTTTATTACATAAAAGTTTATATAATATAAATACGCAAATTTTGGCAATTAAAGAATTTCTGAAGTAATTAAACTAAAAGAATGGCTTTTTAGTATGCGTTAGAAGTGTTTTCCTTTATTTTTTGGACTTTTGTTGAAGGACCCTGACAACCTTTGGATAGCTATATACCTACAATTTGCATTTCCATACGTAATTTCTCTATGGCTTCTCGCAAAAAATCTATAGTGGAATATCCTTGCCTATTAGTTGTCTTTTTAGGGCCACACAGACACGGATCCTAAAGGTATCGAGCAGCTGATTGATCAATGGAAATAAGTTCTGGCGTTGCCACCAAATGGCCAGACTGGCAAATGCGTTCCTTTGATTCCCGTGCAAATGGTCTATGAGTCTAACGAGGAACTCAAGGTGGCAGGCTGCGTTCATTGTTTCATTTTCTGCTTACTACCTCAAGTAGTACCTTGAGCGCGAGACTACTTGGCATTGTCATTTTCCCCAGGGAAACGCTATTCTATCGCCCGGTCCTTTTCCGGCTGGCCGTAGCGCCTGAACCATGCCTCCTGTATGACTACCGTATACTCTAGCCAAGTTTCTTTTGGTGATTAAAGGTAATTGCACAGAATAGACCACATACATTTTCAATTGGTCTGGAGTCATTCCATTAAGGAGCCATTTTTTACTCAGTTTCCGAGCAATATTTCAGTTACAATTCTTTAACATGTTACATGCGAAAGGTTAGTTCTGTTTTCCAGAGTTTTTACATTCTTGATTGCAAAAAGGCTCGTCGATAACGGCAATGCGTTCTTGTACTTGCAACCTCTACTTCTGGTCATCCTCTCGTTAGTATTCAGCACCTCCGTGTTTGCACCATTCACGTGCTGTGTTTTCGCCTAAGGTCCCCTTGTATCGTGCCTTTACCTTTATCAGTCTTCGGTGAATTTCCGCAACGCTTTGGTCTCCAGAGAACTAAAAACTTGACTACTAAGCGTTATTTTTTAAAATTAAAAGATGTTAGTAACAATAGCCTTGTGTATGCAACATACTGCTATGGCCTGTACTGATAATCTTAAGCGTTTCTGCTACCACTGCTATAGGAGAATAAGCAACAGTTTTGTGTTTTAGTGGCTTGCACTTTTGAATGCAGGTCATAATGATTTGAACACGCACGCAGACAGACAGATATGATACGACCGGATACGCTGCAAGAGCCTAAGTTTTGTTGGTATTGAGGTGCTTTCAGTAGACAACTCAAATAACATTAACCGTAATCTACTCATGATACGAAGTTTGAATCGCATAAGACACCTCGCTGACCCTGTTCACCGTCGAAGTTCAGCACACTACCTCTAATCAGAGTCGTTCTCCATATTGCCGTACTGAGTTTCCCGGTCTTCAGCTGACGGAACCTTCGGATCGCGGTAGATGGTGATATCTTGTGTGCTGCAAGAGAAAAGAAACATTTCTCCCAATGTCAGAATCCAAAAGCAGATCCTCTTATTATTATTATCCCACGTGATGATCATACTTTTCATTTAGTACTGCTGTCCGTGTAACGTTCAATATGAGCCCAACTTAGCAAGCTGCTTTGTGACCGGCGATCTTCGCCGCCATAACCTGCATAAAAGACTGCTAAGCAACATGTGTGTGAATAGTTCGTCTCGTACAGGATCAACAAAATACAGAAAATGTTACTCTTTCATGTATATCAGCCGTACGACGTATCTATCTAGGAGCTTGTAGCCTATCCTGTCGAAGCAGATAGGAGCCTCACATAAAGCCCATTTCTTTAAGGACGCGTATTACTGACGCCCGAGTAGTTTAGTTATGCTGACGACTATTATTACACATAATAAAGTTAATGATTTTTTTGATTGTCAATTTGAATGAAACGGTGAGGGCAATCCGTCCAGCGTTCTCCGTTAATGATTCGGGATATTTTTGTAAAAGATGTTAGATGAAATACGTAATTTATAAAAGCTAACTTATAGACGGCGATTGCCGATTGTTCCCGCTTATATAGAAGCATATCGTCGGTGGCAAGGTGCATGTTCCCTTGGGATTTCCTATATTTTTATTATCCGTGATAATTACGATAAATGAAAAAAACGACTCGATAGACAAGATCAACTAATAGAAACGTTTTTTTTTTTTTCTTTTCTTTCACATTGACGAGACAGGGACTGTTTCCAGGAGAAATGCGTAATGAACAACTATTTTGGCATTGGATTAGACGCTAAAATTGCTCTCGAATTTCATAACAAACGCGAGGAACATCCCGAAAAATGTCGATCACGGACAAAAAATCTCATGTGGTAAGAAGCTATGTTTGTTGTTTTTATTTTGCGTCGGATCTCATTTAGTAGTTTAACGGATGAGCTTCAGGTATCATTCTCAAGGGGGTTAACGCAAGGCATTTCGAAAGTTCCTATAATCGTGCAGGAGCCCTCAAGAAAGCTACGCGTCCAATCTTGCTTAACGTTTACGGAGCGTATACATGTATGGATAAATAAGCTAATACAGATCTTTTTGTCACACTGTGCTCTCGCGGTTAGGTATGGAGTGCTCGGTGGACGCGAACTATTGAATAAAACATACAAAAATTTAGAACAGCGGGTTCATTTAGAGTGCGACGGTCACAGGATTGCTCTGCCTTCATTACAAGGTGAGTCGGTGATGTATGTACTCGGTGTGCGGTAATACGCAGATGAAATTTTCAAGTGTAACTAACTAACTAACTAAATCTGAATCGTTTTACGAGAACCTTACGTTAACGGTTGCATAAAAACTATTTTTTTCATTATCGTTATTTAAGATCTATGACAAAATATTTATGCATATTGATATATAACAGACGTGCTATGCAGTGATACAGATTGCCTAGAATGTGTACAAGAACGGTAAGCGACGCATTCCTTCGAAAAGCCCCTGTCTGAAAAATTATACCCAAAAACCTGTACTAAAATTTTACCAAAAAACCTGTCCTGAAAATCCTGTCCCAAAGCTTTACCAATAAACCTCTTCCACAATTATGCCAAAAACCTTTCCTAAAATTATACCAAGAACCTCTCCCAAAATTATATCGCTAATCATAACTAATGTCGAGACAGGTGCCATCACCGACGTAATTTCGAATTTCGTTAGCTGAGGCCCACGTTAGACACGGGTTATTTCTCTTGTGGTCTAGTTATTTAAGCAGCGTCTTCGTCTTCTTAATGCCAGCTCGTTATAGGCTAGCTACAATCTTGAATTGGAGAATCAAGTTACGTATAGACAGCTGGTTGAGCGTAATCATTTGACGTTCTATCGCAAACTTTCGACTGTGTCATGTAGGCTTGAAACAGGCTAAAGCCATAGGTACTTTTGATTCAGATTCTTTCACAAACTAGGTGTTTAGTAATATTTATTTAAAGGCTCCTGTTAAATAACTCTTCAATGGTAACCTTGAAGAGTCGTTAGCTAACTGATGTCTATCACGAAGAAGATATCTCACATTGATCTTTCTATCTAAATGTGTTAAAACAAAGAATGTTGCAGGATCCGTGGAAACAACGTGCAGATCTTTATTAGGATCGGCTAATATATACATTTTTTCATTTAATATTATGGTCAAAAGCTTTGAACTCGGATTGGGACTCTACGGAAGTTTAGGCTATTACCATTGTTTTGGAGGCGGGCCCCCGTTCGACGAACGAGAGCGGATTGCAGGCGCCGGTGCTATAACTAGGTCGGTCTACCTCAACATCTCGACGTTTCGTTAAAAGTCTCTACTTAAGCAAAGGAGGCTTTACACTCTACCGCGAGTGTTCAAATATTCCTGCCTTAAATGAAGCGTGTCGAGACGACTAAATAATTTTTGTAGGCTATCTATGATAACGTACTACGATTTTCCTACGAAGCACCGCAACTGAGATGACCGACTTAGCATGGGTCTGCTAGGTAGGAAGCCGTTGTTTAAACTTCTGGCTCTATCAGCCGTACAGCACCCGTGTGTTGCAGCTTAATCTATAAGGCAAGGCAAGGCAAGGCAAGGCAAAACATGAACCTGCTGTACATGGCTGTTTGCGGGTCTAACTTTTAACCTAATTCCCCATTCGGTGTCCGTGCCACCAGTATCGTTGAAATCATATGCCCAGAACAGTTGGGTTTCAGTCAGAGGCCATAATTGAATAAATACAGATGGATGAACAAGATATTTAAACTTCTCTGGCCGCTCTTTAAAACGAGCTTTTCCCTATGAAAGCGGTGGTAACAGCCAAAGTTACTGTGTTTAAAAAGGAACTGCCAGAGCGACCGATTCAGTCAAGCATCGCAAGCTTGTTCGTCGAAATAGAGGTTCCCTCGGGTATCCTTATGGTTAAAATAGCTCACGCTCATCTTCGTTCCGTTGGTTCTTTAACTTTCCCTATTTGTCCGATGGGCACGGATCGATCAAGACATCAGTCCCATTAAAGCGACGACGAAGACTCATAGCAGAGTCTTCGTCGTCGACGATAGACAGAATAGTACAAATTGTATTGTGAATGACCGTCTATGTTCGGAACCTTTGCATGAAGATCCTTTGTCGAACTACTTTTATATGGACTCGAGTATGGCTCAAGTCGCATTTCTTCTCTATGCCAACATTAAAAATAATTCGATAAACAAATGTTATTTGTATTTGTCGCCATTACGATGTGACGACATCGTACATGTGTGTCCACTATAGATATCCATAAGGGAATAGGATTAAATCGAGTTGGTTGCTTTGGCATACACTTTGACCAAATAGGCTATATCCATAGACGTATGGCCACGATCGCAGTTTATTATGTCTGTCGAAAATGCTTTAGATGAAGAGTGTTGAATGTATGTTGAATATTATTGACTCGTTCGAGCGCATCCTTGAAATAATCAAAGTTGGGATTCCTCCTGAGTAGCTAATTTACTAAGGAGGCTATCCTACCGAGTTGCATTTAGGTCAAGGCACCCCAGGATGTTCCAAAGTTTTGCGAGTCGACATGTACAAAATGCAATAAATGTAATCGAGCGAATCGTCTTTTTTAACGTTAAATATTGTTTCTATAAAAGCGAGTACCGATTTGACGATCCTGCAGACAAAACCCGTGCTGTATTGACCGCTATCTGTATGCCGACTTTGGGCAAATCAGCTACCATATTTCGCTAGGGATCCTAGTAACGAGTGTCCACCGTTCTTAACAAACTTATTAAAACGAAGTTATAGCATCGAGTTAGACGACGTAGTTAGGGCATCTACGCAGATTCTGCGTCGCTGGATAAAATTGTACATTTCAACGACGTGGTATAATCGGCTATGATTCTAATGGACCGTGTGACAGTTCCTGATGATACCTAAATTGTGCGAGTCGAAGGCTGCAGCTCCGTTTGGTATCTTCAGTTTGCGCCATCGTAGTTTATGCAACAGTCACAAGCTAACTATCTGCATCGATTAAAAGCTCTGAAAACGACGCGCGTCATCTGCGTTGATGTGACAAATGGACTTCGTAAATCATCTAGTGGAAACCTTCCCTGACACTGTGCCATCGAGCCAAAATTGGAAACTTCATGCTGTGAGACTACGAGCCGCAAGTGCTTCATCGCTTCTAGATGATGTACCTGAGCATCTTAAACTGTGTCCTACGATACGAATAATTAATTAAGTCCGAATATACTGGCCATCCCAGAAAAGAGCCTAGCGACATGTTAACTTGAGTGAAGTTTGTTTGACTGTTGCCGAAGCGTCAGCGTCCCCCAGACAGCTGTGTTCATATAACTGTATAATAGTAAATCGAGTCGAGTATCCGAGAAGAAGGAAAGCTAGCTACATGAATAGCGCTCCATCTTTTTTGAGTGTTTTTTGAACCACTTATACCTTAATTAAAGGTTAAATGAACACAAATCTACTCTTTACTTAATGACGAAGCGAAATTTATTTGGCCAATTTTAATTTGAATGATGCTGAGCAATGATTTATTACCTACTAAAATCAATGTCGAACCTACCAATGGCCTATAAGAAGTGGAACGTTCTTGTATCTTTCTATTTGCTGTTATAAATGTTATGTTACATAAGTGTTTCCGAGATCCACATCCAGCGTTTCAGCCCTTAAACACTGCTTGAGATGGCTAGTTTCCGCTAGAGCCAGACCTAGACCAGCACGTGTCTCTAAGCTTAGTGTCATTGTTCTATCACGAGAATTGTTTGCCTAATAGATACTCTCTACTTATGCGTTTGTAATGATCCTGCCTTTTTCACCACGTCATCTTCGTTCGTCTCGTCCAAATACCCCTTTCAGGCATTGTTGTCTTGAACATCCCATCGTACGGGGGGGGCTCAAACTTTTGGGGTGGGAGCAAAGAGGACGACGTGTTTTTCGCGCCAGCTATGGACGACAAGATCCTCGAGGTAGTTGCTGTCTTCGGGACGGTCCAAATGGCCGCGTCCCGGGTGATCAATCTACAGCATCACCGCATCGCACAATGTCGCTCTGTCCGAATTACTATCACCGGTAAGTCTAAGTAAGTCGTAGCCGAAAATAATGACTAAATATTTAACAATGTTTCCTCCTTTTGTTCAATAGTGGTGCAAGCAAAAAAAAAAAAAAAAACACAGGAATATACCATGAACTATTGATTTGATCATACGAAACATAAGCTTAATCCGTCAAAAAGAATTTTCCTCTCGAGAAACCCGTCGGAGTAAATCCGTAGCATTAAACGGACGAAGATTTACACCGCATCATTTCTACTTCGAATATCGAGTTCCTACTAAACTATACAGCCTCCATTACGAAAAAGAGGGTCCGGAAACTTGCAGATAATCACTTATGCTACAACAGAACACAGGAGTCGATCGAGAGTCATAGACAAGGTTACGCATACGGGACTTCGTAGCAATTCTGTGGGTTATATTTACCTTTTGGTAAACAAGTGTCAACCCATACCCAATGCTACGTTTCTTTATTTATACAGGTTGTGTAATTATGCATCGCAGGCGGATTTTTAGACAACGATTCTTAGTCTCTAGCAGTAGTAGCAGTCTAGAGCAGAGGCCTAGCTGCTCAAACCACCGCCTTAAAAAATTTTAACGCTATCATTGAGTGTTGTATTTGAGGTTGAGCCTAAGTTGAATAAGTTATTCTAGAACTAAAAGGACAGCTCTTATCGCATCGGATAATTCGGGTAGAAGCATGTTATAGCCGCGAATGGTTCACTGCCTTGCCGTTAACAAAAAAAATCTGTTTTCAAACCTAAAATTATAGGACATGTAGTAAAAACGCACGTGTATTAAGGCTGTAGTGCGCACCATGCTATTCGACTCAAGAACAGCAGCTATAACGTAAGCAGATCTATTTATCACTGGTCACTTGAAAACCTTATTAGGGTCACACTTCAGTTCGAAAAACTGAATGTTTCAAGTCAGCTTCTGCCGTGAAGTACTGCTTCACGCGACTGCTTCCTGTATCGGGTCTCACACCAGACTACCTTATTATCCCTACTTTATATCCCCATATTACCCCACTGCCTGCTACAAGCTCTGAGCCATATTAACTTCTAAAATTAAAGTGTCGTGGACAAATTGAGGCTTGGAAATATCTCTCAAAAAAAGGACAATTATTCGAAGTTATTTTAGCCCGCCATCAATCGTCACCGATTTTCCGCGACCTAGAAGCCAGTCTTTATTTCGCCTCGCTCTTCCCTGCGACACCCGGTTCGAAAATGTCTCACTATCGCCGACTGACACATTAGTCCGCTGAAAATAATTGGGTTCGACTACGGTGGTCGAGGTCCAAGCACAAATTAGATGACGACCTAATCTCGGATGAGAATACCTGTCACTCTGGTCGGGTCAAACAATGATCAAAAGATAGCAATGTCCGCACAGGTCAACCAGCAGGTCAGTTAATCAGAGTTGTAATTAGCCAGGTAGTCAAAGGAGTTACCAGTGCAAAATCTGGTGGCTTTGTAAGAATTACAAAATGGGTGTAAGACAAACAAAAACGACGATCCCGAACGATTACATCGGATTTGGTTTTTAGTGCGGCTCCTGGTCCTACTGGCTAGCGCCTGCAGAAGGCGGCAGCTATTAAAGTTAGCAAGGATTCGAGAAGATTTACGGCGGACGGCGAGTGAAACGGAGCGCACTGTCGAAACAGAGCAGTAGCTTCTGTCCGTTCATGCTCAGTTGTACGACTGGCAAAACTCGGATGCAAAATAGCGTTGGTGCCTACTCATCCTGCCTTAAGGTATATGCTTCTGCTGCCAGAGCCACTGCCAAAGACGGCCCTTGCTGCGACTGCGAACAAAGAGTACCCATAAGCTCGCTTGCCCCGTGGCTTACCTATTGCCCGAAATAACAGTCGAAGCGAGCCGTACAGGTTGTAATGGAGCTATACCACTGAAAGAACGGAAGGCAGGAATTAAGGGGATTCTTTTAAAATACTCAGTTTTCTAAATGCAACGCTATTTCGATAAACTAGCAAGGCCAGATCAACCGCTGGATTAGTCCTTTGTAAGGTTATGCAGGTGTGTTCAGGGCTGCAGGCGGAGGCTCGCCGACAGGGGCAAGGCTTTAAAGACTGCAACAGCTAAAAATTTGACGGAACTTGAACGCGAACCTTCTTGAAACGGAGTCATCAGATCGATGGATGGATGCAAATGCTGCCAGTTTGACGAAAACAATAGAGAAAATACGAAAGTAAATGTTCTTGTTATATCTACAAAAGGCACGAATCGGTAGTTAATAATAATAATAATAATAATAAAGATACTACAGTAGAAATAATTAAAGAAGAATCGTTCTCACTAGACAGAAAGTTGAAAACGTACATTTCGTTATCGCGAGTCGCCGCGGTGGCTCTAATTCGAACAGTAACACATAGCGCTAAGGACTGCAAAACGTAACTAGAAAGGTCGAATAAGGTCAAATATTAGGTCGATCTTGAAACAGCAGAAAAAAAATTCTGCCAACATTGTTTTCTTCGCCGCAGGGCGCATTGTAGCGTGCGAGTGGATCGGCACATAATTTATGCGTTTGCGTTTTGTTACTTTTGTTCTAGGTACGGAGGGTGTTCCTGTGCAGGTGGACGGCGAGGCATGGTTACAGCCGCCCGGGTGCGTATGCATCCAGCACAAAAACCGTACGCAGATCCTCTGCCGAAACCGGCAGTTCGAGTCGTCGCTGAAGAGTTGGAACGAAAAGCAACGGCGTCCTTCATCCGGTGAGTTGAACGCAGCTATGGGATTACCCGTATAGATGCTTCTTTTCACACACTGAATCGGCATTGGTTACGTATTGTTCATTGAACGCTACTATTGATACGTGACATTTTTCACACTATTTCCTACTATTAGTTTTTGTCAACCGAAAGCAATCGTCTAGGTCTCTAGTTGGAGCTGCTTCTTAACTGCTAATGCAATTTGTTGTCCTGTGACTTTTCTCAGCTTTTGGATGAGCATACTACATATGAATATACGATAACCGATTCCAATAGGATACTGTTTTTGTGACCGCTCTGTTATCTAGGAGAGTTGACCGTCTTTATCGGGTTCTATTTTATGTTTGTACTGCAGGAAGCCAGTGTGGCTCAAAGACCGCTCCCGCAGGCAGTAATGTTATTGGTACCAGCAGCTCTTCAGCCCAACCACCTGGAAAAAATAACTCGTCACGCCAGTCGCCATTGGAGGGCGCAGTCGCAAGCATTGCTGTTTCGCTAGGTCCCTCACTGTCCGCGTCTGGAAACCCTCTTGACGGATTCTTCACCGACAATGAGGTTAATCAATTATCCACGTTCATCGAGGCCGCATCACGCCTTGTCAAAGTGTGAGTAACTAATTTGATTTGCTTTCTTTATTATTTGCTTCAAGACAGATCTGTTTGGTCACATTCGATCAGACCCTAATAAGTGATAGCTACTGTTGATATTGGTCTGATAGACGGTATTTGTTAACAACTTAACCGATGCTTCTCACGTGAATGAAGTAGTATTCAAGGACCACTGGATTGGCTGAAGGAATACGTGCACACGTCTACCGTCGTTTCCACCATAAGCGATTTATCATTCATTTTTTCAATTAGTACATTTGGTTTCTTTGAAAAAAACACTCCATGAATATAACCGTATACTCTACCTGTACACAACTGACACACATTTAGGTCACAGTTAATAACAGAACAATCTTCGTCTTTACCCGTGTTAATAAACTGCGGTTAGATGATCTTTTTAAAAATATCAATATATCCTCTACAGTAGTGCCAGTTTATATTACACTAATTTTTGAAAAAAATATGCAATCATATATGGGATGCCTGACGTTGTCCTGCTTTCAAATACAAATACTCTATGTATGTGCTTCGTAAATAGACAAAAAGCTATTCCATTACCTAGGAGGCAGACGCCTCTGCGAGTTACCTATGAACCCATAGTATCTATCTGCTTTATTTTGTCATTTCAATTTCCATCATCTCTCTACGTGTATCATCTTCATTACAGTAGCGGCCTATCGAATCTGCCTGTACAACCACAACCTAACGTTTCATCTCCACCTCAATCTGTGCAAAAATCGACAAAATCAGGGGTTGTCCATCGCCTCTCTCGCCTGGCGTGCTGGGGTTGCGGAGGTGGCCGCTCCAAGCAAAGCCAGGCCGGTTTGGCTGTGGGTAATTCGACTTTGGCGCCATCCCCAATTAGACCGAATCCGTTGCCTCCCCACACGCACAGCTCCGACCATATAGATCGCCTGCTTATGGACGCCACAATAGCTGCAGTAGGAATTGACAGTTCGCAGGCGAAATCGCGGGCAGAATTTAATAGTCTGAATAATAACAGCATGAAAAACTCCTCGACCGGTCAGATCAGTGAAAACGACACAACTCGCCGCGGTAGCAGGACTACTCAAAATAATAATACTAGCTCTTGCAGCACCATTACTACGAACGGTCGCTATAACAATAACGCCTCTGAAATAAACGTGATCCGAAGTCATATCAACGATAGTGGTCACATAAGTAACGATGAAAACAGTGGGGAGTTCACGGACGATTCATCACAGCCTACCATGTCAACGAGTCGATCAAAGGCTAAAGAGAGCAGTCCTGAGGGGTCGAAATCGGTCTGAGACTCTATGTTCGCAGAATAACAAGCCGAAAACGAGAGAATATAAAGTGGCCTTAAATATGTGGTTTAACGCCTGACACCGGCAGGTTCTCACATTCTAGTGCCAGTGTCCTGAGCCTGTGCCGGTATGCACCTGGGTGGGTTTAAGGAATGCAACCGACAGAGTAATCCGGAAGGCTCTCATGGTAATACTATGGGTCCATCTACGGCGAGGTAGGCATGCAGGACTAACATCATGTTGACGTGAAAGAAAACCTGCTAAATGATAGCGCGATTATAAACACTTGGTTCGATACTGTATCATCTAGAAAATAACACGTTTACTGAAATCTAATTATTTCTAGGGGGGTCTATAGGGTGTACCCCCGTAATTATGGCCCTAGAAATGATACGTCATACGCTCTGCTGGCTACGATAATTGGTAGAAATTGTATTGTTGGACATCCTGTAATAATTGAAAGTAACAATAATTCCACCAAATACGCAACTGTGAAACCTCTGACATATTTGTTGTAGTTGGAAACAAATCACGATACCTAATTGTTAGCTTCGCTAACAGGCGTGTCCGAAGCGACCGCCGGTAAGGGATCCATTGCCTTCTAGAGTACACACGTCTTGAACAGTATTATTCTTAATAGGAGCGATATAATTCGAGTTTGCTCTTAGATCCATTATAGCGTTCATTTCCACCTAGATACTGTACATATATCATATGCAGTACAATATCTTATAATTGTCGTTCCTTTTTAGGTTAATTACAGAAAAAAACAAAGCGTTTAACAGTGGCTGAATCGCTTGAGTGAAGTGTCATAATGTCTCTGTAGCGTCTGCACTTACTGCTGTTTTCTAGCTTTGCGATTAAAAATAACTGATAAGTAGTCGAATACATAGTTAATCGTTGAACATGGAACTTACGATTAATAAGTTATAGTGACGAAAAAAGAAAACAACACACACTGATATCGTTTCACCATTCCACCAGGACAGACGTGTGCAATGAAGGTGTGATGAAACTTCAGCATCGATACTTCCTACGTTGTATGTCCGTGAGTTACTTGGACACGATATGTTCATTATGGATATTTCGTTTGGTCGAACGCTAAGAGGAGCTCGTTGCGTTTTTGTATCGATCGCTATGCTGTGCCGCATTTTCACTGCAGTCAACGAGGCAAGGGAGAGATTTCCGTTTCCATTCTGTGTTAATTACCACCCTTTACAAGTTTCTCCTTGCCTCTATATATGTTTCAAGTTACTGAAGGCTATTTGTTTCAATTTATAGTTATTTCTATTGACTGGATGTGTAATGTTGCCGCCCGCGACATAATATGAGGTTAACTGTTCTCATCGCAACCTACATTTTGGTAGGTAATGCGTTTCAATGACACTCTATGAAAATCACTTAATTTCCCTCCATTGCAAAACTGAGTCTATTAGCTTATAACGCCCGTTATATACACGAGAAGATCATCTTCTCCCGTATGCGCCTTTTCAATAACAGTTGCCCGTTCAAACACGCATGCCCGGACCCTTGGAACTAATCGCTCGGTGGGTGAAGATCGCGACGTCAATGCGATCGCATCAAAACATCGTTCATAGTTGGGTCAGGACGGACCAATTGATTATCCAGTTCCTCATTTACCTGTATATTTTCAGAGTCGTATATTTCAGTATTTAAGCAAAGCTTTACTGACGCAATACATTGTGTGCCTTTAAGGATGGCCGACAAAACGCCGACTATAGCGAGTCGTCGTTTCTACGCGTGTATATACGCATGTGCTGTTAAGGATCGTCTAAGAGCTCTTTCGTTGGTAATATTGTGAACGATTCAGAGCCACTGCGAGTAGAAAAGCGTTATCTCTAGGCTCCAAGGACTAGATAGACCAAAGAGCTTATGCATGACAAAACCTATCGGGGTGAGGTTTACCTTTTCAAGTTTCGTATAAAGGGTCATCTACACGGACATATATGTTGACAACAGCGTTGAGCATCACTTTGGCAAAGGCCAAGGGACAACACCCCATGAGTGTACTACTGTTGAGTGGACGGGTAAAGAAAATAATGTGTTCCGTCAGGAACGGTCGCAGTTACGATGTAATAATCCTTAAAGAACTATTTTACGTCCTACGAAATACGTGAATTTCGTAGTAGACATATTTGCAGTCGACGATCTTATGGAGAAATATGCTGTAAAAACAGGTAAGGACATATTTGCGTCGGGACGTTGGCGAATCGGGGTCGTTAACATTGGACACTGGATAGAGAGAACGAAATTAAAACGCGTTTCGTTCACTGTATGAAAATGCTATTATTATGCTATGATCGTTAAAATCAACTAGGCATTAGTCATAGCCTGGAAGTTATTATTCAGTATCCCTAATTGTGCACCATAACTATGCAAACTTGTCAACATACAAATACATTGAAAAGGATGTCATTACAGGCCAGAACAAGAGTTTACAAAAGTAAATGGTAGAATCGATGTGTTATTTTCTCAAAAGGGCATCAAACACACGTAAGAACTCGAACCGAAGGCCTGTATAAGGCCGGTTCCATCTTGGGACGTTTGTAGAAATTCACATCATGTTTCTGTCGTCGTAACACAGCTGTCTCTGTCCTTTCTGTTTCTCTCATTGACGAAATGTCTGCTATCCGCGATCAGAATTTACTATCAAAAAAGATACGCGCACCGATGACAGTTTTTGATGCCCTAAGATATGTGTATAACGTTACCGGTTATAGTAGGACTGAAGGGTTTCAAGCTTTTCTACGATAAATACTTTTTCTATTGTTATTATAATTTACTTGCGTCACAAATATATAAAACGTATAGAATTGTGTGATCAAACTTGTAAAATAAATGCAAATATCTTAAGGATAATAAGTAACTACAGAGAATGTATAATGTAAGTAAGTGGAACATTTAACAACAATAAGCCTTAAACGTTTGCTTTCGTGCACAAAGGTTCGTATTAGATTCGCGTTCGTTCTTTCGTATATTCCTGGACAGCTTTAGATATAAACTTAAACACACGCCGCAAAGCCGGATCGATTTCCGTCGTATTACACAAATACGCTTTAACGTTAAATGAAGCATGGGAAATAAATATATTGTTGTGTAGTCTTGTTTATGATATTTACATATATTCAGACAGTCCTAAAAGTATTATATAGTTATAATATATATTCAACGTGTATCGATTTTGTTTGTAGAGATAGCAATTGTCATAATGCTGATGCCCAATTGTAATACAGCAGTTAATAAACAAATGTGTTTATTATATAAACATAAAAATCGTTTATTTTCAACCCGCAGGTGTTGCTATTTAGTGTAGTATCGAATGTTACTGTGTGTTGGAATGCTGGCCGTGATTGATATCGTTTAAATATTTACTGCTGTAAGCTAGGTAGCGGCGTTCGATAGGGGATCCCACTACAAGTGATTAACCTAGCGATTTCGTAGCGTAGCAATATATTGGAGATCTTTCCCGTTACTTCGCCACCGTTTCTCATAGTAACGACGACGATAAAAAAAAAACACATGCAGCAACTGTCTGATTGCCTAAATCGTCACTTTAATTAGGTTGAGACGATGGGATGAGCACACATAGTAGTAATGGCTGAACGGTTGAGCAACAGAAAGTGGTCTTCAGTACAACAACAGCTACGACGATAACGACCGCATTATTAAGCCATATATAAGACCTGACGATCTCGTTGCGAAGAATAAATCGAGAAAATTCACTCGATGATTCCATAGGTGAAAATGTTGCCCACCATCGCCCGTAGCCTCGAGATTCCAAGGACAAGGCTTGGGTGTCGGTTCTTCCATTGCAGTGTCAACAAGGTGAGACCGTGCATGGGCGAAAATGCCATCACTGCGCATAGTTGTGGGTTTTCCAGCATCGCCAATGTGCACAGTTGTGAGCGTTTTATGAGGCTGCTTTTAGTTAATGGCGCCGTGTCCATTTCCATCCCCCCCCCCTCCCACCCCTACCTTTCATTAGGACTTCCGCAATCCTCTAAAGGACTCGAGCCGGTCCTCAGACGCGTTTAACCACTGCTCAAGTCTCTTCCTCCTTCGAGTCTTTCCGGCCACAAGTCGTTGGGCTCTTATTGCCGAGCCTGGCTCGGGCCGCGACTGCGATAACAGCAGCGGCAGCAGCGTCGCTTCTAGCACTGACAATAATTAAAAAAGTAGCGGCAATTACAGCGGCTGACGCCAACCCACAATCGACGTCCCGCAGGCTAACATCCACACAGCGTTAATTTATGACCACTTCTTGAGAGGCTGATGGGCCATAGGAAACGAAGTGACCGGGCCGGGCCTGCGCATCTACCCCGTTGGCGTTAGTGCGCGAACGTACTATGTCTCCGTATCTCGATGTATGTCAGTGTGTCTGTTTATACATCCGTCTGTGTGTGTGTGTGTGTATATGTCTCTGTCGGTCTGAGCCAGTGACGGTATTTATTGCATGGTTAACTGCATTTCCGCCATTACTGTTTACCACGATCGTCTTTCGCTGTCTCTCGTCTGGACTTAGCAAAAGAATTTTGCTAGAAGACGGTAACGATGCAAGTAGAGGCAGCAGCCGCTGCAGTGAGCTTCATCACATACACACAGTTGAACAGAATACAGTAACATTCGGTACGGCGATAATAATAACAACAACAATGTGTAGATAGAAGATAGCGCATACAAACATAAACAACGCAGAACAGACATAAAACAATTACTGCATACAAGCACTATTATTATAATTACTGTTATCATCGTTATTCGTTGTCGTCGTCGTCGTCGTCGTCGTCGTCGCCGTCGTCGTCGTCGTCGTCGTCGTCGTCGTGTCGTCGTCGTCGTCGTCGTCGTCGTCGTTACAACTAATAATTCTCATAAGTGGGTCTATCTTTGCGTCCCAGTGGCAATGGGATGATATAAACGATTACGTAATCCGTCTATGGTTTTTTATATAGAGAATGTTATAGGGTAGGGCCGTACAACAAGAATAGTAACGGCGGAAACCATGTGATTCAGGAATAGTCTAATGATGACCGAAGTGAATCTGAGCTCCAGTTGATGCGTGACACTCCCTGAGGAGCGTCCACAGGATCAGACGTCATGCAAAACCTGCATATAACATTTTAGCTACTGTTCCTGCCTGAACATTGTATAGCCACAGGGGCACCAGTTTCATTGAAACTCTATTTCGATGCAGAACGCTCTTCGCTCATCGGCAGTTATGTTTCGCCGGTATACGTTCAGCTTTGCGAACTTTGTCCGTGTCGAATTTTCGCGCCTTTTTAACCAGTCGTTTTACCTAATTCAAATAATCAAGAACTAAACATCGTAGATTCGTGTTATAATCTAAAGAGCAACGATATCCTATAATAACGTTCGTGGAAAGGCGATTCATTTCGCTCCGGTGTATGGTCTGCTAGCGATCGTGACGAGCCGCAACCGCTTACTAAACTTTCCATTTCAATAACGCACAAAGCATATTACCCCTATATAAAACAGCATCAAATTTTTAATCGCACCCCAGTAGGTATCGTTTACTCTTCCAACAAAGCGAGTTGGTTATATAGCATGGAAGTTTGAAGCATTTCAAGCGGAAACAAGTATACTGATGAGATGTTCCTGTAGGGACAATTCGATTTAGATTTGTTGTAGTTAAATTTGTCAAAGATATTCAGCAAATTAACAAACACTAACATGCTTTTTCTTTCTCTACTATTTTGTTTCATGCTGTTTGGATAACATTTGCCGGTATCTCGCGGCCTGCGTTCGTGCGACGGCCAAACCTCAACTAACCGTAACTAATACAACATCGTCTGCTACAAACTAATATGTGTTTACAACTATTATCGACCTGTGACGTCGGCTATTACCGACAATGTCTACACGAATCACAACTACCTAATCGAACTGCGATCACTGACGATTCCGTTCAAATTATTATGTCTTCCCCCACACCCCTGGGGAATGACCGGCGGCCCATCAATGGCTGATTCGTCGGCGAATCTCGAAAATTGCATTGGATTTCGCTTATCATTTTGCTATCTGAAATTTGCTATACGCCCATCAACGGATGGACTGTACGACGCTGCATTTTATCGCATTGTTACAATGGGTAACAATATCTACTTTAAAATGTTGATGTTGCCATTCTGGACGTATTTATTTCTGGTAATTTTGCCCGTTTTCGCTGATATGCACTGTCGCGTCCCTTTGTGTACCTACGACTTTGACCTCATCCCGCACACATGCCTCCGACCGGTATTGTGTTTGTAACGATGAATGCGCAAATTACGTGCCCAAAAACCTACTAATAATTAATCGAGCGATGATAAATATCCTGACCCAACACGCATTTGATTAATTTCCATGTCAATCGACTTCATTTATCAAACCCGCCCAACCTTTACCTGCTACCTTCGGCGCCTTGCGTCATCTACAAAATGATCGCATTTTGGACTATCTAATAACTCCACTACCGCTAATCGATCACCGGTAATTCCTCTGCTTTCCAACACCTTGCCGAAATCGCTTGAAATGATGGCTAACGTAAATCGGTGGCTGATCTTCTGAGGGATCTATTTGTCTGAAACAATCAATCCTGCTTCGTAAATCTATCGTTCGCATTGAATTTCGGGGCTGGCTTGTTGCTATTCACTCACTCACTGATAGCATACAAACGATTTCGGAGAGCAATCCTGTCGTAGATAACGAGCTCTGGTTAGCTGCCTCACAGACGAGCTCACTGCTAGAACGATTCTTCCCATCTGGACTACCGGCCGGTGTCGCCGACAACGAATTGGTAAGTACACAGGTTTCGATTTTGTGGTGAAGATGAATTTCTACATTTAATATTATTACCTATTTAAAATTACATATCTAAACAACGAAAGAAATTATTACAGAGACACTTTTTAAATGGAACCATGTCCGGTTCAACTGAGACATTATCGAAGGCTCGATATAATGTCACCGTATTTAGCAGCGCCGCCTAGTGCGCAGAAACATTGGGCTTACAATCAAATCAACGATCATTCTACAGCTTTGTATCTTTCAAACGATACATTTCTTCAGTACATAATGATAGAGCGATGTTCAACAATGCAGATTTACGGCGGCGTATCTGGCTCGACTTATCTTGGTCTTTTCCAACAGATCTATGATATTGCGAACGCTGAGATTTGAACCAGCGCGGCTGTGTACGCTTGTTCGTTGCTGATTAACAGAGCAATGCTCCCAACTAGATGCGCATTAACCAGCTAAACACCGACCCGCAACGGTATAACCTAACCAATCCTAGTTCCTGTTCCGGCCTTAGCATTTATGCCTTTACGACAATTAGAAACTGTCCAGTTTGCGGTGTACAAAAAACACGATCTATGACGGAGGCGGTCTGATAGTTTAGCTAATTCAGCTGTGTCCGATATGCTAAATTGTATTGATCGCACCGATTTTATTAAGATACACTCTGAATTATACTGTGTCAGTATTACATTGAATGATCTAAGAAAGCAGCCATGGCAACGCGGCGTGACTGATTTGTTGTTGTCGTCGTCACAGTCCATCAAGTACAATGATAGTCCCGCAAAACAACAAGGTAGGAGTGCGGTATCGTTATTATCATTATTATCTTTACTAGTAAAAAATACAATAGCTAAAGCTGTTGTTGAAATAGAATTCTTAAATAGTTGACGAAAAGTTTTGGTAAACTCTCTTGCGGCGAGAAGCTTCAGAGTTCGTCGTCAGTCCCGTTCACGACAATGTTATAAGAGCTGCAGCCAAAATGTCGTATGTGGAGCATTACAGGACAAAATGTATTAATTCCTAAGTCTAAGGATGTTCTATAAATTGTTCTTTTTTTTTTACACACAGGCCTTCTGAAGACCCATCGTAGTAGTCATTTAGATATATTGCTTTAGAATAATAAAACGCGGTCTCTTTATGGGTCTTCTCCTCTTCACATTGTTAAATGCACCTTTGTCGTGCCTTCATTTAGTTCCATAAGTACAGAACAGGTAAAAAAGGTGCAGGTATAGAAAGCGCAGACGAGTTGTTTTAAAGTCTATTGATAGCGTTGCGATTATGTCAGCGTGTCAATAAGGGTATTCTAAATGGAAAAAAAGTCATCGATAAAATCCATTATGAGCACCACGGCCTTCCTTCGCGGCGCGCACAGAGTAACAACAACAACAAAAACTTCCGACAGGCAAACGAAACGTCCCGCTTCGACTCCTTCGCTTATTACATATTTTCTGTACTAGCCATGGGGCATATCAGCTGAATGCATAGGGATGAAATGTCCACACAACATATTCGTCCATTAGCTCTAGCTTTTTTTTTTTTTTTTTTTTTTTTTTTTTATAAAAACCACTTGCTTTTGCCAAACAGCGTCTTGTAAGTAAGCGTCAGTCTAATCAACATAAAAGGAACTTAGCTAGCTAGCCCCATGGGTCCCAAAAATAAGTACCTTAAACAGTTTTGTAGCGAAGATCTAAACGCTGTACACTCGAACAATTTTTTCCACCCGCCCGTTTAGTAGAATGCCTCAAAACTAGTTTTATGCTAAGGTAATTCGACGTAGCATTCAGGGATTTTTATAAAATCAATTGTCGGAAAACACTAACTCGAGAACAGGCTCGTTCGTGCAGAAATGTTGACCATCAAAATCAAACACTTCTCGATCTATGCTTTTTTTGAATCGGTTACTTAGAATTTCCTAAAAATGTGTATTTTTTTCTTAGCACGTTTCTTACTAAACAAATTAAATTTGTTCTTCCGCTGCTTTTTTCCAATTTAAACCGATCTAAAAATATCGTCAGGGGCAACTTGAAAAGTTACGGTTATTACATAGGCAAATTAGGAGGGGAAGGGGAGGGAATTGCAGGAATCGTTGAATCTACGAGAATGTCAAGGTAAATAGCTTAGAGGACGAGGCTTTAGAAATATATGTGGCTGATTAATCTTTAAACTGGCCTCATCGCACCGCTAATAATAGGTGGGTAGTAATCACTACATGCCTTGAATGATCTAAATGTGTAACTACAGTGGTTACATAATTAGCGCCACCTAGGTGTTTATTACAATGATTCAATTGTGTGATATGTTTCTCGCCTTATATAATCAAGGATCAATAATTACTTGCAAGGTGTCCCAGAACTTTTATCAGTTAGCTTGTTAAGCCTTTCGTGCCCCTTAACTTTTTTTTTTTTTACTTACACGTTTTTCGTAGCGCCAGAGCTTTGACCCGTCAAAAGTATTTGCTCCTCGAGACAAATGGCTTCTTCGAATTTTCTTCCGTGAAACAATCTTCACGGGAATAAGAGTTTTCGCTTAAATGTATACTATAATACATCTGCGATCATATAACAAACATTAAAAAAAGAAACTTTAAGAACTTCAAGCCAAGGAATCTATTATATTACAAGTCTTATCGCCAAATAATAGTCATCAGAGACATTTTTATTTAGATTCTATTTCCTAACTAGGAACAGCCAGTTCTGCTCATTTCATCAAAGTAAAAATGCCAATAAGAATTATTAAATATATGGAGGGCAACAATGTCGATACGTTTGCTAGGGAGGAAAAAAATGGTAGGGTTTTACGCAAAGGACCGGTAAAGGATAAGTAACCTTATTCAGGAAGTGGGAGTTAGTTTGAATCTATATTCTATTCTGAAATCCCAATACAACTACTCGAAATAAACTCGACGTATAGAAAGTTACGCTTTCCTCAAACCAAACATGTATGTTAGACAGAGCCTCTATGTTTCGAGTTCACGTCCGATATCGCCATTATGTATAATTCCATTAGACACGCGACTGGCTCCCAGCACGAAACAAAGTCTCTCTGCGAGTAGACAACGGCGGGTGCCTAAAATTAGCAGGCAAATAACGTTACCCACTAAGCTACAATCGGAGAAGAAGCGGGGTGGGTTAACTAGAACCTAGGCCACACGAAGGCACGCGTACTGATGTTTTTTAAAATGCGCAGAGATTTTTACATGTTTGACTAAGCATGGAGAGAAAATGATACTTCTTCTTTAGTGTTTTTGTTGAGATGCTGACCACCATAAATGTGCTATCATGCCGCAATACCTATTAAATAATAATGCTTGTTATTACAATTATTAAATTAATTAATCGAAGTGTCATTGTCCACGTAATCTAATTAGGCTTGAACACAAACAGTTATCCGAGTCCTCATCTAATCAAAAACTCACCGTTCTGTATACGTAATTAAGGTGTCCTACAGGCCACTTCCTTGACGCCACTTGATACGCTTGGCGGTAGTCCTCTCAGTGAGCTCAAGGCGGCAATCAAAATTCATGGCTGTTCCGAAAAGATAATTGAGAACCCCCTTATACAGACAATGGCCAGGTATTTCAAAGTCTAATACAGCCTTCTCTACGCGCGTGTTAACTGCCTTCGTTACTGTTTTCCAATTTCGGCTCGGTATTGTCGCTATCTAAACGCATTGATTCCTGCACCGGTCTTTCCGGTCATTTTTTTCCGTATTCCGGTCATTTTTTCCATGTTGCTAGAGCTACATTAATATGTAGAACTGACCATACAGCATGAAATGTTTATCCATATTGTTCTTACGTAAAATAGAAGTGGGGACTAATTTCGTCTAAGGTTTTATGTCATACGTATTTCATCATGATCGAGCCTAGCTTCGATATAGTTTTGTCTGCTTGTAGTAACGGGCCGTTTAAGTCAAGTCATTTTTGAAATTTCGCTCTAGTGCGCTCCTTCACGATATGGCTAGCGTTGCCTCAATCCAGGCAAGCTCGTTTGCCGCATGGTGCTCAGCTCAACTTGACAATACTGTACAATAACAGCTGAAAGAATTTTTAAAATTCATAGTATTTTTGGAAAATAAATCGAGAACTCGTCATTTGTAGGCAGGATTACAGATAATAACAGAGAAAGCGTTGTTCCTTTAAAACTAGCTAAATCTAGCTAGATTCTAGCTAAATCTTTATATATAAAAAGCTTTTTTAGTTATGCCTATTAGACATTTTGAGGTAGCGTGTTGAGAAAAGTTCAATTTATATATATATATATAAAGAGAAAGCTCATATATGAGCTAACTGAATTGATAAAAATGGAATTTTATTATAAAATACCTTTTTCTGACTAGTAATAGACTAAAAAGGACTAATTAACGGAAAAGCCAGTGCCCCTTTAAACATTTCTGTGGGCAGTAAACTATTTATACGTGGGTTAAAAACTAGCCATGTTGAAGACAAGTTTTGTCTGCTTCGGTACTGAAGCTAGCCTGAATAACTAGATGCTGGAACCGTTTGCCGATGGGCTATAGGGACCAAATTAGACATGGGACTTTCTTTCAGATTCCCGTCAGAAAGGAACCAACCAAAGCATTTCTAAACAACGTCTTATAACCCAGTTTTCCTTTAATTGTCTTGTAACGTACGAGTTGTGCTATTCGAGTTCGAGGTGAGCTGTCAATCAATTTAAAAAGGGGTATATCCACCATTATGGTTAGCAGATGTTCTCTTCTTGGGGATAAACATCCCAGCTTTTTTTTAGACAACGATCTTGTCGATCGTTCCGAGTTGTCTAAGATCGTTTTTGATAGATGACAACTAATAGGCTACCGATGCCTTGAGGTAGTGAAACGCACGTATGGCTTTATACATTTACAGCTGGTTGGGTAACATAAATGTACCTAAATGCTAAAATGTTTCTATTTAAGGACGAACGTATTTCGTTTTATAATATATATACCTCCAAGTTGTCGACAAGTTAGAGCACACGATAAGGATAACTCCATTTATTTTTATGGTCCATATAACATGTCAAAACAATTGATATTTGGTTTTTTTGTATTGCCCAAAAACCACTGAAAATACTTGGTGGGAGTGGCCCATTAATACTGCGACTACGGATGCGATAGGCCCCTTCGGTCTAATCGAAACCATTAGAGTATATAATTATGTAAAAGCTATTTATTTTTCTGTTTTCCTTTGAAACAAACCATGTTCCATGGTGTTAGAGGACAAAGGTTTTTCCTGCTCATTCGTCTGTTACGCCATGTTCATGTATATATTTACCTGATAACCTACAACATAACGACATAGAATCACTACCTAAATAAGGTTACAGGCGTAGGCATAAGAAGATTAGAAGCCATGGGACAATGGTAGTGTAAATATCAACTGATCAGGATTAACCGAACTCAATACTCGATACCTTCAGCAGTCCATCCTTCAGTTGCAATGAAGTCGCTGATGTCCACCGCAAATCACACGTTTGTTTACCGGCGTTGCCGGTGAATAGAGCTTTATCATGCCTATTGGCTCAACTAGATGTGTTGTAATTATTGTTGTTGTTATTGTTACTGTTCATTCTCTTGCTCTTAGGGTCAGCTTCGGCAACAACTCGGCGAGCTAATCAGCTCGGCTAAGCAACTTCAGCTTGAGACGAAAATTTTCATTCAGGAGAAGATTGAAGACATCGTGAGTGGCATTCGTTCTTCAATTCATTTAGTTCTCAACGAAATCATGATCTATCCTTATCTGAAGTTAAACCTTACACTCTACACGTCACTGCAGCAGGAAAAATTAACAGCGCTGGTTTGCTATTAGTGGTTCATACATGTATCGGGCCGTCGAAAACATATATATATACATAGTGTATATTTAAATGTACCATTTAAAGCGACGATTTTCTCTCATTTGTCTAGTAACACCATAATCCTATCTGTGTTTATCTAATCTGTGCCACCGTGGAACTTTTGTGGTCTTGAACTGAACAACTGCAATAGGTGATTTTGTATTCCTCGATTGAAACGAAGTTAATATCATTAAGGGAGTTATACAGAAACCGAAACAGATGATAATCGGATGATGTAGGATCCAAGCTAGGCTATACGACGAAAGCTATAAGACGTCCCTTCTCTCGTTTTTCGATTAGTAACTAAAGAGATATGTGGCCTGCTGTAGAACGATGCCTTTTTCTATTGGCTAGTTCCGATCGATTCTTTTCAATGACTTGTTGTATTCTCGTTAGCTGTTGGGGGTAGAGGTCCGGATAAATCGTTCCCCAAGCTTCATTCCTTAAGAGGCACAATTTTTTTCCTGATCTCGCAAAACACATGGCACCACTTTCTTTGGCGCCGAACTGGACTTGCCACAAGTTGTAAAGCTAATTCTTTTTTACCTGTATTATTGTCTGATGTAATCGACCTTTTTTTGGTTATCCGCTCTTGAAACGGATTGATTTTTGTTGTGTTTTTTTATAGAGTTCTTCGTATGAAAAAGCGATCACGTGAATTTTTTTGCATTAATTTATGTCATATTTAAGTCTCCAGCTTCGTTCGTGGCCAATTTCGTCTAACTAGTTTCAAACCATTTGGCGATATCATAACTAACCACAGATCGGTCTTGCTCGGCTTTCGCAATAAAAATTTCACTCGTTTTCTTTTTGTAACTAGTCGGTTACTACGAGGAGCTTTTTTTACGTCGAAATGTTCGGAACCGCTATTAGGCCCTTCCGTTTTGTAACGCTTCTTGCCCATAAACACACAATTTTTTACAGCATCTGTGTTGTAAAATATAGAGAACTTTCGCAGACATTTCAATCATTTTTTGGCGGTCTGTTTTATGTCTGGATACAGGCTACTTTAGCATAGCTACGGAAGTTTCAGTCTTCCAATGATACCAACGCCAACTCGACGTGACCTATATTACCTAAGAAATGTAACCTAGCTAGCAAAGCGGTCAGCAACGATGTATGTATCTGTATATATATATACACATATATGCGGTGCCATATATGCGTGGCGTTGCCATCCTTTTATAACATTGAGAAATTTGCGCTCGTTGCTTCGTTATAGTGTCGATTGGGTTACGAAAATGAAGATGCACTCGTGAGTGCCAGCGGTGAACTAGAACGTCAGCTTAAAAGATGTCTTGCGATTCGAGCGCTCGCACATTTTTACGATGTCGAGGTAAGTCACGCAGGCCACTGATTACCTTTCCCACTACGTCTTTGAAGTACGCTAGGGTAAAAAAATATATACGCACAATTTATGGCATGTTTCAAACAGGGGTTTCAATTTCCTCTTTAACTGAACCTTAAGTAACTTTTCAACAACTATACATTAGACTGGTACGAGCGAATACGGCGGACTTTGACAATAAGTGAAATATTTACGAGCCAAATGTATTCAATCGTGAAGATCGAAAATAAAAACCGGTTGAGTTTACTCTAGGAAGAAGAGTCTAAAGGGAAAAATATTTTCGAAAAATAATTTTCTAGTCTAGAAAATCAGTAGCCAGTGGTCAGGTTTTTTTTTCGAAGGTCACAGCGCTGCGCAAAATTAAAAGACGATCAGTGAAGGCCCTAAGAAAAAGGATAGTACATGAATGACGCAGATGTTTGAAGATCAGCCGTAGGGTGACCGAATGTCCGGACCCCAAAAATATCGACACATTGCCTCAGTTGAAGAGGCTCTTCATGGAGACACAGCTTAAAGTTTAAGGGCTCTGTCGGCCAAAACTGGCATTTCACATGTAACGCGTTGCAGAATCGTAGCATAAATACAGAAAATGCAAAAACTGAGTAAAAAATGGCTTTCCCATGAATTGACTCCAGGCCTGTTAGAGTTAGAGCTCGTGATGTAGTCCACTTATAGTTTGCGGAGCGTTAATCAACAACCCTCGCCTCCCCACCCCTACGGAACATATGGTCTTCATAAGCGCAGCATTATTAAATCTTTACTGCCAGTCGGAGGGGACCAGGCGTAAGAAGGGACGATTTGGCGCTGAAGAGAAATCGTATTTGGTAACGTAGCTCTGTCAAATAGCTTCGAAGGTAGAGTTAGCCGATGAAGTATCATTCCAGCCTAACTGGTTCAAAAATTACTCAACGTTTACCGTATTCGCTTGATGATCGCAAAATAATATGATTTGGACCAGATTAGTTGTATTTACTAACTGTCAACGGAAGATTACTACACGTAATATTAGACATTTACGTTTCTTTCACCTACCAGCCAGTAACTGTCTCACTGAAGCAAAAAAGATCCCGGTACCCCATATGATACGTGACATATGTGAGCCATAAGCACATCTTCACAGTTGAGAATCACTGGAAGAATATATCGGATTGAGCGATCGTTAGAAGACTACGTAAGAGAGTTAACATGGATGATAACTCTTAAAACCTTGAAAAATTTTAACTATTATAATATTAATTTGATATCTCATATCAAATTAAATCATTTCGCTTCGAAATATCCCGCGTAGGGGCTTGCTATGCTTTGAAGCCTGCTAATGGCAGTAGATCCAACACGAACGAAACAAAGATACATAAGCAAATTTTCTGTCCCGCATATCTTATACTAACAATGCTTCAATTCCAAATCTTCCGTATACGCATTTTATGCCTCTACGATAAGCTTAACTCGATGCTTGTTACAGAAGATTATTAGAGATATTCAAAGCGATTGTATCTGTACACCGAGTATTTCAACGTTGGCTGCCAAAAAAAGGATCAACTTACTGTTTATAGAAAGAATAAAAAAAACAAGAAAAATATTTTAAATAATTTTGTTAATCATAGTAAGTGTTTAAGTAATAAGAACTACAGCCGATCTGCACTGCATTTTGGGCTGAGTTGGGCAAATCCCGCCCCCGGAAACAGTATGTACTAAGAAGAGGTTAGTTGAAATTAATACATTTCTATACATTTGCAAGCGTTTGTTATTTTGTCAGATTGTTAAAGCAACTGGGAATATATATAATTAGAAGTCGACCTAGGGACCCTTCTACCATGCAATACCTTCATAATTGATCGAATTTGCACATAAATATTCAGAGCTTTTTTCGTTCGTCCTTGTTTTCAACGCATTATTGTACTTTCGCTTCAAGCCGCTGTACTATATTGCCTAGCGAAATGGCATAGGAAGGTAGCCTAGAACAGGGGGGCGGGCGTATGCTTCACTTCACCCGAGGGCACCTACACACCTTCAAACAAGCCGAGCCAGTGCGAGCTGTAGATTTATAAATAAAGTTATCTTATTATCTAAACACGCCACTGGTATTTTATAAATACAGTTGTCCTTGTACGTAAATACCTCACTGACTATTCGTAAAAAACAATATGTCATTTCTTTAAACAGCTCAGAAACGACAGAATTCATTTGAGTTTGCGTTTTCTATTAGTTTCTTTTTGTCACAGTTTTTGTTTATCTGATCTGTACAAGTCCCACAATGGCAGCGTCGAAGCTGTACCTTTACCAATACCACTGCGGGTCTTTTTGTTGTCGTTCAGAAAAGCTCAACACTTAATCGATCAGTTATCCATACGACTTCTTCGTCTAAGAGCCTCTTCATTATGCATTGTCCCAAGCAATGGCGATTGGTCATACAAGCATGACTTTACAGATACTTCGCGACAGCTTTCTGTACACATGCTGGTCATCATTTAAACGTTAGTGTATATCGTTTCAGGCTTTGATTTAAGGTGCAGAGTCCGAATGGTGTGTATGGCTTGAGATGAAGATAGTGCAGTCATGAATTTCCGCTTCCATCACTTGCATCTATAGCTACCGCCATAGCTGCTTCTTCTTCTTGGGGCCACACCAGCAACGCCATCAACATACATTGACAAGCTTTCCATTGCTTTTTCGCGAAAAGATGTGAAGCACACTCTACTTGTATCCAACATTCAGACTTTGGAGTATTTGACTAGCGTCCAGCTGACATTAGAGGCGCAGTTCGCCAGAGGCTGTTCCAATATGGCACCATGGCCACTCACTAACGCTCACTCGGCTACACGTGATCTCATTAGTAAATGTGGACGCAGCGTATACCAATACAAATACCTGACATATAGCGTAGCAATGAGCCACGTGGGCAGCGCGTCAGTTGGCAATAGCAGCTGCCAAAAGACAAGCGCCAGCAGCTTCACGCAGCCCTCTGCCCGATTACTGCGTAATGCACGCTTAAAAATCCATATCACTTTGCATAAAACTGACTACGTGTTAAGAGTATCGACAGGCGTCTGCTAGAGGAGCTTCGTGGGAACAGGTTACTTGTTAGTCAGGGCGAGTCGTCCAATAGGACTAGTATACGCCATTTGCAGAACATCGTATCAAGCCTAGTAGGAATCCAAGGACATTGATTAACTTGGAAAGGATACTGTTAGCGGAATCGATGGCTCGCTGATGATACGGTTACGGGTTATTTCATCATATCTGTCGGAGGAATCTTCAAATTGAAGACCCCGTCAAGACTGGCTTGGCGGAATCTACTACCGTCGGAGTAGGGGAGAGCACGAGTCGCGCAATGGTGGCATCGAAGCGAAGTTGGACAGGGCAGTCGTGCGTCATACAAAAGGCAAGATTGGCTGCCAGATGCACGTATCAGGCTCTCATTAAAGCCAGGTCGACATTTAATATCGAGAACTGTATTCCCGTACACGCAACAACCGCATCAATTTCGCTTGCACCATTTCCAGAGCCAAACCCAAGTCACTTTGTCACGTCCTTTGTTTTAAAGCAAGCCCAATAAAAAGCTGGATCAGACAACAGTCTTTTAGCGGAACGCTGGTTGGAACGTAGCTTCGTACTACGTTCCAGCAAGCACAGGTGGTGAACGAGCCTTCTGTCTGATGCTCTTGATTGCTCCTAGATAAATTAACATGCTATTAACGTCTATACGTATCCGCGCCATGAATTTATATACCTATTCATGTGCAGCGTCGAATTAGGTCATTGTTATCAATAAAATGCTATTTTGGAACACTGGACAGCATGAATCATATTCCCGTGATCAGAATATCGCTGGTGCTTGATTTGTTGAACCTGCTTGTTTGTTCCCGGTGTTCCTGGATCGTGTCCGACGTCTGTTGAGATCGCACGCCACACTTCCGATAGCTTCGGGCATTCTGCCTATTACCAATTACATACTGTAACATACTGGTCATTGAGATCGATGGCACCGCACCCGCACTGTTCAACCTAACCTTACGTTATCGTAGCCAGGTAATTAAGGTTGTAATTAAGACTGAAGACATCAGACATTTCTGTTCCGTACTTTTGCTCCCTTACTGCAGTGATGTGAAATAATTACGGAAGTTTTCGACTGAGCGCCCCAAAAAAGCGCGTAGAAAAGCTATAATTTGAAGGTTCTACAGTACCCTAGCTGGAACAGCCCTTTTCTGTAACCCTAAATATTTTGACAATCTATTCATCGATAAAAATGATCTCAATTCCTATTAGTTCAACATCTTTATCATTGTTTCACAATAGAATACCCGTAGAAATAAACTTCCCGAAAGTCCTCATACTGACAAATTTACAGTAGTTCTACTTACAGAAGTTTGTTTACTTAATTAAATTTAAATAGGATCGAAAAAAGAGGAACACCTAAACGATCAACGTCTGAACGATTAACTTGATTGTAGGTTTCGTCAAACATGTCGGTTAGTTGGCCATGTATTAAGCCGTATTAAGCCTGCTAGTCGTAGGTTCGAATCCGAGCAAAGACACACTTTATGTCGTGTTAGGAGCCGTTCGTTCGATGGAGCGCCTGGCAACGGTTTCGGATATAAAGCTCTTTTTTATTTATTTAGATCGTATTAAACAAAATGATTATATAGTTTTCTTAATAATAAAGGCACCCTAGATATCCTATTTGCAAAAGACTACTGTTGAGTAGAAGGGGTACGTTTAACCATCCCACATATCTTCTTTCTGTTTGCATGTAATCGTACTATTAAGTTCAATTAGTTATTAATTTAATTAGTCGCCAACGTGGAGCTGCCTGGTTTAAATTTATAAAATCTAAAATTGCTACACTAAGTTTTAATCTGTAGTTCGCCTCTCATTTAAAACATGTACAGCATAGAAGATATTATATATATATATTTATATATATAATTTCACATATTTAAAGAATCGTCCGCTCTAGCTGTAATAATTAGAAAAAAAAAAAAAAAGAGATCAAAGTATTCTTGATGAAACAGATTTACATATGCTTGTCCAGTTCAACTGCGAACCAAACGACGATACCTACCTGAAAAAACTAATTTCATTAATTGAATTAAAACCCCATTAAACCTCTTGCTGCATCAGTGAACTGGAATTCAGGTAACATCAGGCTTATTGAACATGAATGACAAGCCTTTGCGCGGTGAACTATCAAAGTATTAGGCTAGCGTTTTAAATTTTCTCATAATTGACGTTGATTGGACGGTACGTGACAGCGCGCCGAAAGGGTGTTTTTTCGTTGTCTTTATCGTACAGAACTTCAACTTCGTTTCTAGTTGGAATAGGACTTTGTATTGCTGTACAAAAGACGCAAGCAATAAATGTTCCACATGTGTATGTTGGTCATTGTTCTATATTTGAATTTTTCCATTGCCTGACAGTCTCACGTAACGTTTTGCTGGAACGATCTCTACTTAAAAAGCGTTGTCATTTTTACTAATCAAGCATGCAAAACACATTAGCCTGCAAACGTCTGAATAATCCGAAGATGGTGGGGGACGTCCCCGCTAGCAAAAGGTTATAGCTTGAATTAAAAAACAACCAAAAAGGTATGTCTACTATTCTAGAGTTACGATCACTTTTGGTTAGCTTTGTACAGGATCTTACGAGGGAAAAAACTACGAACGGTGCCAGATGTACTATTGGCTTTTATTTTAAGCTAGCGATATAAATATCTATTTAGGATAGTGCAAGGGATAGCCTCCACTTTAAGGGAAGAAATTGATTTTCAACTCGTATAGAAAAGAATAGTCGTATCGCTATCGTGTAGCCTCTCGGCAAACAACAAGGCATGGACGTAACGTAGCAGGATGGCAGGAAGCATGTCTGCATTATTCCGCGACTTTTAAAGGTCGTTTAAACCAACCGCGAAAAAAAGCTTCAGACAGCGCGGTGCTACGTTTAATTTATCGTATTTTAAATGAATCAATAAAATTACACAGGACTATGATAGGATCTAACCACCATAGCAAGACCGACAGGCAGATATTTAACTAATTGAAAAAGTTCACAGCATTAGCCGGCTCTGGTTGCTTGTACCTTATGTAAATAGATGTTGTGATCCGCAGCTTTCATTTGTTAGATAAACTCACGGCCGATACGTACGCAATTCTCGAAAAACACAAGTAAGAAGAACTAAACAGCAATTATGAGATAGTGATTTGTTTGTATCGTTATTAATACCTATTTCTATCTAATTGGCTATAATTATCGGCCTTCTTAATTGGCCTAACTTTGTGTATTGTTTATTACAGCGTTTGCTGCCATTAAACGAAGAGGCGTGCGGCCTCCCAAGTCAACGCGACTCATCAAAGCGTCATCTTCCGCATTGTGGGAGTCTGGCTTTCTTCCGTGTTCGGTTACGAGCACTAAAAGCCAGCTGCCTGGCTCACTCTGAAACCGTGCCCTTGGCCAAGGTAAAAGTTACAACACAGGAAAGATGTCCTGCATCGATTTAAATGTAACGCAATGGTTTTTCGCACTGTTTTAGTAGCCTGCGTATACGTCAAAGGCATCTGTACGATGCATCTCAGTATTAATTTCCTGCTTTAAATCGATAGTTTATTATCGAGCTTCACTTTCTGGCCGAACTCGACGGTCTACACTGTTGTTACCTCTGAGAAATTCGTGCAATGTTTCCAGGAAGCAGTCCGGATGACCCTCGATAGACTTCGGATATAAAAAGGCTCGAACCTTCCTCAAAATATAAAATAATAATAAAAATAAAATGAGCCATTTTATATATCTATTGGGCGTCCAAATAAATTCCAATTGCCATTTTTTTAACACTATTTACGCCTTTTCGCGCCTTTCGAAATTATGGATCGTTCTGATATCTTTCACCTTTTTAAGGTTCTTGGCCTTACTTCCACTAGAATTTTTTTTCGATAGAGCGCATTTGATCGATACCTTTATAGACGTACCCCTAATAATATCGGTTGACGCACAGTTACTGTTAAAATGGGTTCAATGAAAATTCACCAAGGAATGCTTTGGAAATGACTAATGGATGACTTAGGCATCGTTTTCAAGCGTTCATCACAATCGATGGTGCTTATATTATCAAATAAGTACGCTTATCGCGAACGACACTTCGCTAGAATATCTACTTTTTTTTTTTTGCTGAGGTGCAGTTTTAGAAGCAATTCATAAAAAACGTCTTCATTCAGATGACCCACCCTGTATATCAGGAATCTGAGAGGGCCTTAAGCGCCTCTACCTAAATTGTTAGGTGCTTCGGTTCGTAGAACCACTATTTGATTCATTGACACAGAGACTTAGCACGCTAAAGACTAGGCGGGTGCGTGCCTGTCGCAAGGTCTGGCTCGAATTGGACAGGCGACGTAGAATTAAGCGAGGAACTTAGCAACTCGATTGTTGAAAATCGTCCTACGAAATCAAGTTCGATTTCCAACATTGAGTATGTCGTTCTAGCTCATCGATACACGTTTATTTTCTTGTCTCTGGACAGTGGAATATCTAAATTTGAAGAAAGCGCCAAGGATATGATCTGTTCTTCACAGAGAACTGAATGTTGTTAGCCATGACACCGTGTGCAATATTCCCCCTGCTAGTTGTCATCGGAATGTACATTATTTAATCTAAGATAGTAGTATAAAAATAGTTACTTTCACGAAACAATAACAATCGTAGATCTTTATACAACGTATTATATGATAGATTATGTGTAACCCGATTCAATGCCTAACCATTAAAGCTTCACATAGTGGGCAATGCTTCTGAAAAGCAGTCACCTCTCGTTAGAAACAACAAATTTCAGCAATAGAGTTCAAGTGAGCTTGACATGTAGGAAGTGGCTAAAATAGTACTTTGTTTGCTTCTTCTACATACGCAATGTCTGCTATGTAAATAAACATTTACTTAGTAAACATAAAACTTTACAGCTAAGGTAACATGAAGATCACTATTTACTAGCCTCCTAAGATATTTCCATATCCGTGAACAGGTGTTCGCTGCGAATTGATTCGTTTTTCTGGCTAAATCTAAATTTCAGGTAGATCCCACACTGTCGCAAGTACCTCTTGCACGTTGTGCGCTCGTGCCAAGTGCACGTTCAGCGCCGACCACCCCAGATCGTTCAGAGCATAAGAGCTGTACTGCGGGCGGACCGGTTGGCCAGCTTGCAGCCTTAGCGGCTCCCGTCGCCGAGTGGAGCTCGAGAGAGGTCCTTTTCTGGCTGGAGTCCCTTCATTTGGCTGAATATCGGGACACTTTCCTCAAACACGACATACAGGTGAGGCAGAAGGCATATGAGACAAACAAGAGCTCTTCGATCATTGGCTTTGTCGTAGTATCATCAGTTAACAGAGCTCGCTTTTGGGCAAAGACCGAAGCAAGCAGGTTTTGGGCACTTCGTAACTGTATTTAAATATGAATATTGATTGTGCACAGTATATTTAGAGCAAGGATAATATTATGCAAACTATTTTTTTGGCCTTAAGAGTAATTCACGTATCGGCTCAGAAAGGCGTTGAATAGTAGTTTTCTATGCCCAAAATTATTGCAAATGTAGTTTTTCTTCATTGGCGTTTCAGGGAGCTGAGCTGGTCAATCTCGAGCGACGCGACTTAAAACAGCTTGGTGTTGCGAAGGTATATAGTACTTGAACATTTTATGTTTGATAAGAGCCTCGAAAGAAGTTTAAAAAGCACCCTACCAGGATTAGGCTGATCCTATATATTTGTCAGTTATTTTCGTTCGTGAAAGTATATGTTTATTCTATAAGCAATCAACTGCCAGTGTGTCTATTAAACTCCCTATTTTTTTTGAGCGATTTCTGACAGCTTCTTTTAATCGACCGACATCGTATCTCTGCTATAATTGACTTCAGGTTAGGCACGCGAAACGAATTCTGAAAGCGATACGGGACCTCACGCACAGCACCGAGCAGCGACCCTGAAAAAGGCGAGGCTCGATTAAGCGAAGTAGCAACTGCTCGATGTTTAAACCTGAAAAACCAAACAAATGGAAATTGTCTGGTAGTCCTATTTTTGAGGCTTCGTCTTCGGCCATAGCTCATCCGAGCCGTATTACAAATTGACGCATACATGAAATGGAACATCACGCCAACCCATAAAACCGAATGTATTTTACGAAATAACCCATTTGTAACAATGGCTATTTCCGCGACCAACGCTTACGTCGACTAACTATTCTATACGAAAGAATGCCGTACAGGCCAGCGGCCATACGCGCCTAGCTTGAGCAGAATAACAACACTTAGTGTTAAATAACATTACGAATGATACAATTTGTAACAAAACAACTATATACATATAATTACAGACACAACCGTCAACACAAGCCCCATAGTAGACATCACCATAGCACAGATTAAGAAAGTGCTGCAAAAAACAACGCGGATTGTCTCCCCATTAACAATGTGTTACGGCAGATCGGTGGCAAATGAAGGAACACTTTCTCTAGAAATCGTTTAAGATGCGTCGTATAGCGTTAGCGTATGATCGGTCCTTATTACCTGTTGATCACTTCGTTCTTCTGAGCCTATATGTGTTATATACATATAGTGCGAGAGGGTAAAAGGCAAACGACAGTGGGCGAGTGAGTAACAGCGAATACTGTATACTACAGCGATTGCCGAACTGCAACCCGCGGTTGGTTCGAAAATCCATGTTAATTATACGTATCTTTGAGCTATTAAACACGCCTTTAGCTTAACAATTTTTTCCATACCGTATACACACACACACACACACACACACACACACACACACACACACACACACGAATGCCTACAAATATACAGATCTGTGTCGATTGTTGTCATCAGCTAAGCTAACTAATGACGCCCTGTTGCGTGCGCATCGGACGTTGGATTGAGAGAGAGAGTGAAAAAAAAGGTAACGAAATGGAAGTGTGAACGAGGTGAAGGCCTATGGTAGTAGTAAGACCCAAAAATATCAGTTCTCTCACTTCCTCAGCGCATGACGCGCATCTCTCGATTATCGCCATTCATCATGTGTCTATTTATAACGAGATGACCCTTTCGGCACCATTCCCGAACGATGGCTCCGCTAATATTAAAGTTAGTCAAAATAACGTCGAAGATATTTCTTCCCCTTGCCTTCTCTTAGCGAAGTTACCAAGCAAAAGTGAACATTTAGGTGTTAAACGAAGTAGATTTCGAACGACAAGGGGCGTTCGGGTACTTAGTCACAAGGGACTCATACCTGTGTACGTATCTTTCTTTGTATAGAAATAGAACTCCCGCTATAGTTAGTCTGAATATTATTAGTAGAAGTGTTCTTATTTTTCGTGATGGAGTTATTATTTGATAAATATATTAACAGTTAACCTTCAGATCTGTGGTTTCCATTTCCACTTCCTGTTCCGTTAACTACAGTAGAATGCAGTGGAGTATAATACATTAAAGCGATATATTGGCTTCTTGGTGCGCACCGCTACCTACTACATAAACGCTGACCTAATTCCTACATCCGACAGTTGTATACAATGCACTTTTAACAACAACAATAATAGCTAGTCATAATGATTTTTCCCTATCTCAGATAAATTGTATAGTATACGTTATATACTTGACCTATAAACAGCTTGCTAAACCCCCTACATATATTATAATCCCTATAGAAGCCATGAAATAGACTACTCCCATTATAAACAGGCACCCAGATGTGCTCCTCTTTCGTTTCGATTATTTTAATTACATTAGCGATCTTCTACGCTAAATGACGAATAGAATTTTTTGCGTTTGCCCAATGAGTTGCTGGCGCATGGATGGATATCTACTACTAGGCTTAACTAATTATATGCATAGGGTAAATTTTCAGGGGGATACTACTAAGCGTTTTACCAAATTTGGGTTTCTTTTACTGTCGACGACAGATTACCGTCAACGATTTGTAAAACTGTAGCCAACAATTACATTTAGACACGACGTACATAAAAAAAACAACCTTCAGTTGTCCGCCTGACAAAATCAGTGGGAGAAAGTTCAGGCAATAGCCTGCTGTCTCATCCCACATTTCTATCGAGCACGAAGTACAGAACGAATATCGTTTATTGAAAGTTCTAAGTTGGCCTGTTGACGATTTGGTATACCAACATCGAGTGCTAACGTTGAGTTTGTCTTGCACGATCGATGTGCCCCCCTTCACTTTCGCCTCGACCAGGCTTACAGTTACCATCTAACTACTACTACTACTACTACTGTCTAATAATCCCCTTATGACAGATGTTATTTCAGTAAATTCAAATGCTGTTTCAGTTACCATACAAAGTTGCACGACACACACTCGGAAGAGCGCAGTAAGGATTTTTCAGTATCAAGTCATATGACGGCATTTAACAATATAGAGGTCAGGTCAAACGGAAAAAAATGTCTATCTGTCACGCATTGTTCCAAGCCATAGCTTTCAGTCATTTTTCGATTATATCTTTATGTCACTTTGATGTTAGTTAACAAAGTTAGTTTGTCTGCTTAGAACTGACATGTTACGTCGTCAATCATTTCGTTTCATGAAACGCAATGCATGAAGCCGTCGAAAAGCGTAATTTGTCAGCCTGCGCAAACAGGACAAATAGCCGAGCTACTTGCACGATTTCGAGCTGAATAAAGTAGTCTCTACTTGTTCTTACCTCGAAGCCAATAGACCAGCGTTTTGGGCCAACGCCAAGTGTATCGACACTACTTTTCAATGGCGGACGGGATAGGACGAAAAGCATTACACAACCTACAGGAATCGATCGAGTTACGCACCTTTAAAATATATATATATATATATTCCCCGAAAGGAACTAACTAAAATGACCCACAAAAAGGTGGCAGCACTTACCCATAAACAAATCACCTATGTGAGATGACGTTTATGCATCGCAGCATATACTGCCAAATGGGTTGGTCTAAACTTTGTGAATCTATTCAAGATACATATTGAACAACTCTATTCTATACAGACGCGTATTATTTCTACATATACGTGATAACTTTTCACAATCGTGTTAAGCAGTTGAAAGGGCTGAACGTTTGCCACCCGTCTATCTATCTATCTATCTATCTGCCCTTCAGTGGCTGTGTCATTGAACAATATATCGATGAAACGACGCTCCCGTCGGGGCCGCTGTTCGTCAATCGAGACGAGTGTCGATGGAGTTAGGACAGCAGCTCGGACGAGAGCGCAGACTATGCAACCTCCAAAATAGTACAATTGCCATCTTGCAGTTTACATACGAAGCGATGCGGTCCAAATCGGCAACAGTAATTTAACGAATTTGTTGGGAACTGGTGATAGTCTGCTGATTGCTCTGATATTTACCATACGTATTTGATGTTGTGTTAGATTGAAATTGGCTAAAACTCCGCTTTGGAGGCGGCAGCGAACATTGGCTATTGTTTACATATGGAATGGTTTACCGTTCGTGGGCGGAAACTTCTAGAAATAGTTCAAGTTAAGTTCGACAGCTAGATCAGTTGTTCTACATCCCCACTAGGGCATTTATCCATGTGTACGCATTGTGCCTTGTTTCCAAATCAAGTGGACAAACTACCAGATCTAAAGTTACCTTCCTTTTGTTCTTGCACTTTTTCTAGTAATCTGTACAGTAAACACTGCGTCCTGCATTTTCCAGTTGGTCCCGTCTGCGTGAAGACGTATCTTTGCGCGGCGCTTTAAGGCAATAACGCTTTGAGAATGCCAATTGAAACAGAAGGAAGGCGAGGTTTATCTATTCACACCTCAAGTTTTTGCCTTATTTTATATATATATATATATATATATATATATCTAACTTACTTATAAGTTACGTAGTGTAGATAATACTACTATAATTAGTCGTCTCACATTTTTCTTTATCGTCCGCTGCTATATTGTATATTATTTCCCCTTCTGCACATTGCTACGTTATTGCTAACACACAAGCATATAGTGGAGTCTTGTGCCTGCCATAGGCAATGCTGTTACTATACATAATAATATAACAATACTCGTTAACAATTACTATAAGAACGGTACGATAATAGTAAATGTCACTATTATAATTAGTAACAAATCAGTAAGCCTGCACCTGACTAAAGCGGTCCTGCTTCCTACGCCTGTCTTCTGAATAAGCCGCCCGCTATCAAGGGTACCTGGCACCAAATGGAAACTCGCCCTGAAGCATCGTTTGCCCCCCAATATTTTCTATCTCTTTCTTCATAGATGTTCCATTGTCGTATAACTTCGCAGTGTTCATTAACTAGTAACTAATGGGCAGAAGAGCTATAGCCCTAATCTTTTTTTCAGCTCTTGATGCAGCCTCCTGTAGCTGAATACTTGAAGTAGTTTAGAGCGGTAACGCATATGTATCTCTATGTAGACGATGGACGCCTTGCTTTCTTTTACTGTGTTCTGATGTCTACGACAACGCAACTGGCTAGAAGGCTATTGGAGCCATATCAAACAAGCTGCGCTGATATGATTGAGACTTGACATCTAAAATTACGACCGCGAACATTTTTTTCGGTCAAAGAAACTTCGTCTAACCCAAAAATTCAACATTGCCAACACAGTTGTCCCTCGAAGTGGAAATTTTGTACGTCTGTATATTGTGCGAATACTTGCTATTTTCTTGCAAAGTAAAAGTTCAGAACAATACGACCTGTTGTCATGTTAAACTAGCATTTTCCAAACCTGACGGCATCCGGGGCGTTGTCCTGCAACCTAAACGTTGGGAGCAAAGGACGTCAAAGCATATTTACGTAATCTTTGGATCGCAATCTGCTTTAGGACCCCTTGGTCGTGAACACAGAAACAGGCCACGGTGTAATCAGTCTTCGTAAACGAGCCACAGGAATTCGACCAACGGAACGAAAGTACTTGAACTGACTGGTACGTTTTGACCTTCGTGGACGCGCGATGAATCGAACCACAGCGGATGTATCCACTGTGAATTAGTCGCGGGCGGAATATCGAGTGCTGAGCGCTCCTTCTAAATGATAAAGCGTAAAAAACATCGGAAACCTGTGCGTTCAATCCCACAGCACTGTAGTCGCTGGCTACATACATACACACCACAAACATTATAGTGGATATACAGGTACATAAAGTATATAGATGAACTTATGCTATAACGATATATAGACGAAGATGACTAATATTAATCGTGATTTTTCCATGAACCTACACTGACTAAGACTGTAAACGGAACGCGTTCGCTTCTGGACCACATTTTTCTATGGTAGAACTACTGCGAGAACTGTAGTGTTAAAACTAAGGGTACGCGGAAAGGAGCATATGAAAGTAGCAGGCCTTATAACAATCTTTCGCCGTTGTGAGCTTCGTGTAGCGCACCCCATCGACCCACACACGAGTAATACGATTGTCAGGTAAATATGTATAATAGACTTCAAGTTAATAATGACAGTAAAATTAACTTACTAAGTAAACTTATGTCTTATACATTGTTGAGCACGATACGAGAAAAACGGGTTATTACTTCCCAAAATAAACTCTCACTCCTTCTCA